TCTATAACACTTTGAATTTTTAGTAAAAAAGTTCACAATGTACTTAAAGTTACTATTTCAATTAAAATATAGAAGTGTTCCAGCTACATAGGTCTCTTTATCCTCCTGTGATGGTTCAGTTTGATGGCTGACCTTCCTGACTTGAGAGGGAGCTGGATGATCAGTACAGCACACCTCTGGTGTGTCTGATGGGTACAGCAGTGAGGCCTTGACGCCCTCTCTGGCCCCTGGCCCCTTCCTCTCTGGCTCTTTCCAGCCTCCTTCCGGCTGCCATGAGGTGAGCAGCTTTCCTCTGCCACGCCCTTCCACCGGGACATTCCTGCCTTGGAGCCAGCTGACCATGGACTGAAACCGTGAGCCCAAATGAACCTCTCCTCATTTAAACTGAGTGTGTCAGGTGCTTTGTCTCAGCAACAGCAAGTTCGTGTATCCCTGATCGTGGTATAGCAGCGATCTGTATCACATCGCCACATCTAGTGCTTCATGTCAGTTTGCCTGGCCTAGGGGCACCCAGATTCAGCATGATTTCAAGGTGTGCTTGTGGGGATGTTTCTGGATGAGACTAGCATGGAGTTAGTAGATCGGTGAGTAAAGTGCCCTTCCCATTGTGGGACAGGATCATCCAATCCACTGAGAGCCAGAATCGAGCAAAGGGTAGCGGGACGAGAGATTTGTCCCTTGTGCTTCCTGCCTGCTTGAGCTGGGACATTGCACCTCACCTCAGCCTTCAGCTGGGATTTGTGCCACTGGCTGGCCCAGTTCTCAGGCCTTCCCACTTGGACCGAATTACACCAGCAGCTGTCTTGGAGCTACGGCTCCCAGAGACCAGATTGTGATTTCTCGGTCTGAAGACTTGTTTGGACCAATTCATGATAAATGTACAAATCAAAAAATCCTACTGGTTCTGTTGGTCTGGCTAATACCGCTTACAATGAACTCCCTCCCAACAGTATTATTTTTTTCTCAACACTCTTGCATAATTTAAGTAGAAGGGACATTATTATATTTACCACAATGCTTACCATTTTATTGCTGTTCTTTTATTTCTAAACTTGCAAGTTTGCTTGTTGTATCACTTTGCTTCAGACTGGGGGACTTTAGTATTTGTTTAGGACAGGTCTGCTAGCAAAAGCTTTCCTGCTTTCCTTACTATGAGAATCTCTTTATTTTTTTTTTTTTCTGTATTCTTGAAGGATATTTTTTTATCCTGTATATAGTTCTTGTTCTTTGGGTGTCATGTAATCTTGGATTGTATTGTGGGACTTTTGAGTATGAAACTCTGGATCCTGTTAAAACAGATTATTTTTATCAGTCAAAGAACTTGATTAAATTTAGACTTGAGTGTCTGTCTTCCCTCCAGTGGACAATGTTTCCCAGTGTCAGTTCAGGTTGACAGGCTTAGACAAGCTTTTTGGACCTGCTCCTCGGGACACATTACTCAGAGTTTACTCTGGAACTTGGATTATGGCGCGGTTCAAAGCCTGATGCTTCTTCATATGGTCGCACGCATGACAGCTTGGGTAGTGAAGCAGGACTAGCACTGAATTCCCAGAGCGTCAGTCCTGGCTGCACGTCTTTCTTTCTTCAGGATTTCCCTGCACTTTTCATGTCCCAAAAGTCCCTTTCCTGTTTTTCTGGGCAGAAAGATGGAGTTCTCTCAGAATTTTATCTTCCCATACAGTTGCACAATTCCCGGCCAGCACTTGGGCCAAAGCAGCAAAAGCAAAGGGAAAAAACTCCCTGGATCCCCTCGTGTTCTGTGAGCAGCAGGATGCTGCCACGCTTGATTCTCCCACGCATCGAGATTCACTTTTGCTGAGCAGCTCAGGTGAGGGGACCACTGCTCACTTCCACCTTGGTAACTCAGCCTGGGGCTGGATAACCTTGGGAGATAAGGAAGAGAAAAGAGAAGGAGCAGGAGCACTTGATTCCCCCATGCTCTTAGCTCGCTGACGGTCACCTTCTCCTTTGTCCAGGTTGAGTTTCTGCTCCCTGTGCCTGCTGCATCGTCCCTTTATCAGGCCAAAAGATAAAAAGAAAGAAAAAAATGACAGGAAATTCACCCTTCTTATTGGTCATTCTTCAACTTTGACTTATCATTCCTAGGATCTGCAAGTGCTTGCGTGTGTGTGTGTGTGTGTGTGTGTGTGTGTGTGTGTGTGTGTGTGTGTGTTTTACAGAGCTTTGAGCTACTCAGTAGAGTAGGCTATAATGGGCTTAGCTTACCTTGGTCACCAGCTGAAGTTCTCTCCTCTGATTTTGAACTGCTGTTCATTGGACCACTATTATATGCATGGGCAATTTCTGAGAGGATTTAAACTTTTTATTGATTTAATTTATATGGCACTTGCCAAATGTTTTTTGCTGTTTTCAAAATCAGTAGATCACCAGGTGTGGTGGCACACGCTTGTAATCCTAGCACTCAGGAGGCTGAGGCAGGAGGATTAGCATGAATTCGAGGTCAACCTGGGCTACATAGTGAATTCAAGGCCAGTCTAAACTACAAAGTGAGGCTCTGTCTTAAAAAAAAGAAAACAAGCAAACACAAAAAGCCCAATCCAAAATCAGTAGATTGTTGAATACAAGTTTTGTTTGCTGTAGGAAAAAAGAACAAGGAAGAATGATTATGAACCCTTCCGACAAAGAAATATACAATTTAGTTGGGTGAGCTAGTTAAAAAAATTATAGAATTACCATAATAGAATGGTCTTCTGTGAAAGTACCATAAATGTAATCTGAATGAATTACTAAAGATATTCAGAGAGAAAAGAGATCAAGAACGGCTTTGTGGACTCTGTGGCTTTTGAGCTGACCTTGAATCATGGATAGGATCTGAACATGAAAAGACAGAAAGAGGTGGATTTTGGACAAAGAAACAGCATGATCATGGGTCTCATGGCTTAAAATGTGGGAGATGCAGAAAGCAGAGCAAGTCTCTGAATATCTTTAGGGAAGCATAAACGCTTTAACACTCACACCATCCTCCAGGCCTAAAAATACTTCTAAATTATAACAGAAAGAAAACTTCTACATGTTCATACTTTTTATTTCTAATTTCCTTTCATACCCCCTTATATGTTTGGTTCTCTTTTCAGCATGTAATTGCATCTAAGATATTGCCCTAACCTATTGGTCTTTTTTTCCCTAAATATAATTGATGTTATGGACTGAACTGTGTTCCATCCCCACCCCAGACTCATACATGGAAGTTGTGCCCCGTGGTGGGTCTGTATTTAGGAGTGTTTTCAAGAGGGGTGAGGTCGTGAGGGTAGAGCCCTGCTGCCGTAGGACTGGGGTCCCCTGGGAGAGGCGCCATGGGCTCTGGCAGAGATAAAAGGCTGATGGTTGATCTCACTGCACACTGGAAATGGGCCTTCTGCAAGCCAAGGAGAAACCAACCCTGTCAACACCTTAATCCAGATCTCAGGCTCAGACTGAAGAAATACCTGTCATTTAGGTCTTGCCATCGGTAGCGTTTCATTAACGGCGGCCCAGGTAGACGGATGTGTTACATAATGCGGAAATGGAAGAGCAGCGCTGTCTTCTTTAGCATTTAAGGCACGTAACTGGTGTGTTAAAAATATTACTTTCATTTTAGGAGACAAATTGCCCCATGAAATTCCAACTTCAGATCATAACAAAAGAGAACTGAAAATGTTGCCCTGTTCCAGTCCTACTTCCTTCTTTTTCTCCTGCTCCTGCTCCTATATTTCTTATTCTCTTCTCTTAATGTTTTGTGTGAATCTTCTCTGCTCATTTTTTAAAAATATGTCCATATCTTTACAAACTTGACCAGGACTCTGGCTGTGTTCATTGAAGCCTGTAAGAGAAAGAACAAGAATGGCAATCTTAAGATTGATTCAGGTTCCCACTGAGCGGGCACTATGGCCGCAACTCCGATGACGAGGGTGGATACTTGCTCACTCTTCCAGACCCCCGGGCCTTGTGGGGACCTGCTGTTCTTATCAATAGCAGGGCTGAGAGGGGTAGTAAAGCAATAAGGTACAAAACCCTGACCTTCAAGAGGTTTTTTGTTGTTGTTGTTTTTTTATAAGTCAGTGTTTGCAGGACATAATGCTCGCGTTTACCATGGGAAGTCGGTTCATGGACAGAGCACATCCTAATTCTTTTCTTTTTATACCCCTTTCCCACCTCTCCCTCCCCCTCCCTTCCTCTCTTGGTCCACTTTCCACTTGCCAAAGATCAACCTCCCTGCTTCCTAGTATCTTTTATTTTGCTCTTTCTTTGTATTTGGGGTTTCTTATGTAAGAGAAACCACGTGATACTTAACTGTGTGTAAACCCGTGTTTATAGCAAAACAATGTACAACAGCTAAGTCTTGGAAGTGGCCTGTGTGTCCATCAACAGGTGAATGGATAAAGAAAAGGAAATGTGTTTATTCCCAGTGGAATAATACTCTACTATAAAGAAGAATAAATTCGAGTGATTTGTAGGACAATGGATACAGAGACTGTGTTTCTGTTCATAAGAAGTTCAGGTGACTTGAAATTGTGCCTTTCCTCTTTGCTTTGGATCATTCTATCTTTAGTGGGAGAGAGGAGAGAAAGAGAGAGAGAGAGAGAGAGAGAGAGAGAGAGAGAGCAGTGCTTTCTGTGTTCTGCCACACCAAGCACAGCAGGCAGAAGCTGAGGAAGGGAAGTCACTGATCACGGCAGGGCCTGGTGGAGGACGAGAGCTTCTGATTACCAACCCGGGCATCTGATGACTGTCACTGAGACGTGATTTGTAAGAGCAACAAATGTTTCATGATTGAACATTGGGAGAGAGTAATTTTCCGAAAGCAGTACAGAACACAAGTGCTGCTCGTGGGATGGTTTTGTAGTTGTTCCGGTATCCACGCGGCCTAAATGTGTCTGCTTCAGGAACGCAGTTTCTCATAATAAGTGACAAAGTCAACTTTAAGAAAGCAGTGTGTGTGTGGTTAAAGAGCACAGAGACAGTGGTGACCTGACCAGGCTTGTCTTTATCCTTTCTTGCAGGAACGCGAGGAGATGGCCTCTGATGATAGATCCTCAAGGCCAGGCTAACAAATGGATCAAGAACATGGAAAAAACCAACAGCCTTCAGCTCATTAAATTAAGCGATCCCGACTACGTCAGGACCCTGGAAAACTGCATCCAGTTTGGCACTCCGGGTAGGTGCATGGACATGTTGGGAAGGGCACGGTTAACCCAAAACTACTTGGATCACTGCTCATCGCAAGTGGAAACTGCTAGTCTCCTTCATGATTCACTAATAATCAGATGAGAACGCCAGAGGTTATAAACCTCCCAGAAGATGCGCTTTTCTTTGCTGTGGTGCCTCTGTGATGCTTCTTCTAATTTAACTGATGTAATTTTTGTGTGCTTCTTGCCATCGCTGGGCTCTCATTCTGAGTGCACTCCTACAGTGAAAGGGGCCGCTTGACGATGCGGCACTGTCCTAACACAGCGCTAGTCCAGCTTCCTGTCTCTCCTGCTCTGGACTTTCCCTACGGAAACCACAGGGCGGAGGGTAGAGTTTACGCCCCTGGCTGTGAGCTGCCGAGCAACAGAGTGGAACTATAGCAAGGACTTTGAATCCAGCCTTATGAAGATGTCACGCTGTCCAAGCAAAAACCAGGGTGCTTCTGATTTGAGCGAATTGGGGTTATTATTCGTCTTTTAGAATTCATGTCACCTACCGAACTTTGACCAGATAAATGTAAATATTATGAAAATTCAACATAATTAGCTCCGGGAAAAGTTCAACAGGTCGCACTTGCTACGGAAACTAGTACAGTGTGGAAGAATCATAACAAACTTGCCAGTGGTCCTGTAGAAACGTTTTGTGTGCCTATTAATAATGAGTTAGCTATCAAATATTAATTATAATTTTAAATTCTGTTAAGGCAAACATGAAGTGAAAAATCTACCTATAAAATTTTGTGTTTATATAATGGACATCCAGACACAATATTCTGTTCCTTCAACTGGTGGTCTTAAATAGATAACTCTTAAATTGATGTAAATTTATACAAAATTTGGGGTATCATATGGTGTTTCGATATGTATATGTGTTGTGTAATGTTCAAATCACGTAAGTACGTTTCTCTTCTCAAGGATTTATCATTTCTTCATGGTCAAAACATTCCAAAGCCTTTTTTCTAGCTTTTTAAAAAATATCCAGTACAGCATCGCTCTCTCTAGTTACTCCATTGTGGAACGGAGCAGCTGTGTTCTCAGAGGACCCTAAGTGATACAGGACTCACACGAAGAGGGGGACCATAACCTTTATCAAATATTTTGCCTGGTGCTCGCTTAACATCAGGACTGCTTATAGCTCAGTGTAGCAGAAATAGAAAGTACGCGTCACTCACTGACCCCCACGGCCCGGAACACTTGCAGCAGAGGCGGTGGCTCTGGATCCAGACTGTCTGCCTCTGCCATTCGGAGTTTGTTCAGTGACTTAGTTTTCTCATCCAAGTTCTGCCCGTACAGTGTGAGGATGAAGTGAGTTACCGTGTGTTACACACCTAGAGCAGGGTCCGACGAGTGCTTCCGTTACAGGTTCTTCACAGGTGTTTTGTGGTGCTGGGGAGGGAACCAGGGCTCTGCACGCTAGGCACACACCAGCCCGGGCTGCATCCAGCCCTGGGCTTTCAAGCTGAGGTCAAGCCATCGCCCCGCAGTTTATCCGTGGCGTTGTCAGAACAGAGGAGACTTCCTGAAGGAATTGGAGCCTTACATACTTTAAACGATTAAATTCCTTAATTCTACATAGATATTAAAATAATTTCCATGATATAATAAGCAAGTTGGCTGATAATTGACTGTCTGCCATCTGCTTGGCATCCCGGAGATTTCTTCAGTCTCGGTTACATTTCTTGATGGTAAAATTCCATAATGATAACAGAGAAAAGAGCCATAAAGGTGGTCTGTCTTATGTTTCTCAGATTACGGGTGGGAAAGACAGCTAACGTATTTTACCACTGAAATGCAATATGAAAGAATAGAGCATATCAGGCTGCATATAGTACAAAGTAAGGGTAAGCATCATTTCGTGAAAATTTGAAAGTTTTATGTGTGTATTATTTATTGGGTCAAGATTTAACATGTATTTCTTACTTGAAGTTTCATAAAAACTTAAAAACCTTGAAACCCAATAGTAATTCCAAACACTTTATTTTATTAACTAGGCAAGTGAGGTACTAGAGAATGTCAGCGAGACGGCCTAGCTAAGATCGAGCAGCAAGTTAAGAACAGTGCCGAAATAAGCCCCACCCTACTGTGTCGTACAGTGAAGATATTCTTTGGGTTGATTTAACATATATTTTGGAATAAGCTCCTTTTAAAATGACTGCTGCTTTATTTGCCATGCCTCCTAATGTTAATCATTAGAGAAAAGTACAAAGTTTTAATCTCTTACAAAAAAATAACCTGGTGGCAGATGTTAGAGTCATTTTTCTATTTCACCATCAAGGAAAAGAATCAGTTACTGTTGAAATTCTAAAATATAGGTGGCTAAAGACTCCTGCCTCTCAGAAGTTACCTTTGGATGGTGGCTATTTGGGGAAACTGTCTTTTGATTTGTCGTCCTTCCCAGCCGGCCTGGGTTGAGAAGGCAGAGAGAGATTTCTGCCTACTTCACCTACCTGCCTCTGTTTTGATGAAAGCCAAGTCTCTCTTTTCTGTTTTAAATTTTAAGGTAAGGTCCTCTTTGGAAAAAAAAGGCATTCTGCTACTTTTTAAAAAAAGGTTTGAAAGCTAATATTCTAGGAAATGTTAGTATCAGCTAAACCAATGGGTAAAGTCTGCACTGGGTATTAGTCATAACATTATTAATGATAAAGAAATCAATCTGTATAGAAGATCCTTTTAATGACTTTCCATTGAATTGTGAACTGTTGGTAGCCAGCCTCCCGTCATAGCACTTTACTCCCCCCCCGTGTGTGTGTGTGTGTGTGTGTATGTGTGTGAGTATGTGTGTGAGTGTATAACGAATCAAGAATGCAAAACTACCTGTTTAATTTTTCTTTCATTTACATGTTTGTTTGTTCATTCAACCATAAACATTCATTTTGTGACCATCCTGACCAGGCACCGTGGCAGGCATCCCCTCCACAGGAGATACAAATTCCCTTTTGTGGGTGTGACCACTGTTTTGGGATTTCTGACACTTACAACTGAACCTAACTATAAGTAACATGCTCAGAAGTGGAAAAATAGGCAAGAATATTAGCATATCTTCCAGGAAATAAAATAACTTAGCCAAAAAGCAGCTAAAAACATTTTGCTGAAAACACAAACTTTAACATTGTATTTTACGCATCAAACTATAAAAGTCACATATATACTAAATGCTGATAGTGTCACCCAGGCGTTCCGAGGGTGAATTAGGAGTTTGGTTATTTACTAGCTGGTTTAGCTGGTTTTATCTTACCTCCTTGTGCCGGATTCATCTGTAGAACAAGGGAAATAATAGTCCCTGGCTTTTAAAGTTGTGAGTCTGATGGGAAAATCCAACGTCAGCATGATATTCAGCATTTGTAAGCACAGTGATAGGTTGTAAAATTAGGCTTAAAACATACTACAGAACAAATACCCATTGCAACTCTGAGATGAAACATCTTTTGGGGAAAATAGGTTGGTAGTATAAGTAGATTTTTAAATGCTCCTAATACTTCAATGTTAGCTTCTTTTCTAGGTCTTCACCCTAATAAGTAACCAGAAATGACCACAGAGGTTTCTTCCAGAGGATGTTCACTGTAGCATCATTAATAATAATGGAAATTGAAGCCAGCTAAACAAGAGATTAACATATTTAATACTTAGCACTCATACTACTTCGCCATGAAAAATAATCTCTTTATGCAAGCAGAAAATGAAAATGAGTTTTGAAATGATCTGACCTACCTCCTTAGGTCACCGTGTCAGCACTGGCAAAAATTGCTAAGAGCACAATTTTAAGAATTCTTTAGCCAGGAATAACCTTAGGAAGTACAGAACATGTCTGTACTTTTTCTGCAGTCAAGATCCAAATACCCCTCACCCCAGGGCCCCCGATCTCCCTCTTCCCAGCAAGACAGCACCCCTAAAAAGTGCCCCAGCACAAGACTGGCTCTGTAGCATCCCAGCCGTAACGCAAGACCTTCTCTGGCGAGTATGTCAAGAGCCTTAGCATGCTGCTCGCCTTTTCTCCAGGGATTCCTCTCCCAGAACACATCAGAGGATAATACTCCACAGGGGAGGTTTTGCATATTTAGTACATGAAGCAAGAAAATCCCAAATACCTAATGGTAAAAAATGAGAGAAGATGAGTATGTTTACTAGAGTTTTTAATAATGGTAGAATATTTGTGCTATCACGTCAAGCAAAATTGTCAGGGGGTAAAATCTGATACATTGTTTAGTCTCAACTATGCATGAGAAAAGATGAAGAAAAAGCTTGAGAGAGAAAATAGTTCATTCAGTAAGCAATTACCATGCCTATATGGTTTCGTGTCATTTTCTAGCAAACTACAAATGGCATGAATCAATTAAGGGCAATATTTAAGGAGAGAGAGACAGAGTGGGAAAATCTTAGTAGACATAGTTTTCCAAGTTCTTCTTTATACTCTCCTGTATTTTCTAGATGTTTTGCCATGAGCATGAGTTAGTTTTATAGTTAAAGATACAGTAATGGCATAAATAGCCATGCCTGGAAACACGTTCTCTGCTGGGGCACTGCCATCCTGCTTGGATCCATAGTGCCTCCTGGGCAAGGCTGGGTCTACACAGCGGGGCTGGTAGCCTGACTGACTGTTATGGCAGCAGGCGAGGAGACCAGGTTCCCCACTGCCTAAGAATGCAGTACGTTGATGGCATCGTTCCCTATACTTAGAAGACAAAAATACTTTTGTAGATACGTAGGGCCCGAAGCAGCCTGGACGGCTGAGGAGAACCCAGGGGAGTGAATGTTTGTAGCCCGTGCTTACAATTGCTGTCGATCTCACTCCAGTGTTGCTAGAGAATGTTGGAGAAGAGCTGGATCCCATCTTGGAGCCTCTTCTCCTGAAGCAGACCTTCAAGCAGGGCGGGAGTCTGTGCATCCGCCTGGGGGATACCATCATTGAGTACGCGCCCGACTTCCGCTTCTACATCACCACGAAGCTGAGAAACCCTCACTACCTTCCCGAAACCTCCGTCAAGGTGGGTGTCCACAGCGATTGTGTCTTCACCGGTTTTTACTGTCAGTGACTATGTTTTCCTCCTGAGTCACCAGAGGAGCAGAGAAAATTGGATTGTGTCCCTTGTTGTGTTCCTGACATCACTGTGATAATTTCCAAGTGTTGCCTTTGTGTGTGCAGGTAATGAGAGAGCTTTCAGTATGCTGGGGAAAAGCCCGTCAGAGTCTAATGTCTACAACTGATATCATTGAGATTCTCACTGTTAAATGTAGATGACGTAGTCACATTCTTTCTTTGTAGTAAATGCTAATATGCTAATTACTGGAATTGGAGTTTTTGAGCAGGGCTTTTTCTTTCCTTCTCAGACTATGCTTGGTGTTATTTACTTTTATATAATTACTCAGAAGAACTGTTCTCAATCACTGTTCTTCCAAAACACTAAAAACTCCTTCAAAGTCAATTCCCAGCACTTAAAAAAAAAAAAAAAAAAAAAGAAAAAAAAAAAAACCATTTGGAGAAGTCATTGTTCTTAAAAAGCAAAACAAAAAAATCTGTCAGGTATGGTGCCACATGCCTGTAATCCCAGCACTAGGGAGGCTGAGGCAGGAGAATAGTTGTGAGTTCGAGACCAGCATGGGCTACAAAGTGAGCTCAAAACCAGCCTGAGCTGCAGGGCAAGACCCTGTCTCAACACAGACAAAAAATAAATAAATAAAGTTAGCTTAAAGTTTTTGTCCACGACGAAGGTGACTTGATGTGCAGCTGAGCTTCAGGTTTAAGATGACACCTTTTTTCAGGTTTTTATTCCTAATTCTTAGCCCTGGTGGGTACTCAGTAAGTGTGGGGAGGGTGAGCTGGATGAAGGGTGGGTGACAAGAAGTACTGACTGAGATTTTGGAAAGTTACATGCAGAGGAAAAAGTCACTGCGTGAGCTAAATGCTCTCCTTCCCTGGAAATACTTCAGTGAACGCAGGTATCTTTCACAGAGAGGCGGGGACGAGGTCCTATAACTTGTTCCCGCCCAGGGGAATGAACAGCAGGATGGGCTCCAGCAACACAGCCGTGTGGTCAGCGTGACTGGGGCGCAGTACAAACAAAGTGAGCTGCAAGGAGCCCGAGCTCAAGCTGAGGACACACTGGGGCAGTCAGGGTGCCGGGAAGACTTGGGGGAGACGGGGAGTCCTCGAGCTTAGTTTTAAAAACAGAATGTTAAAATATGAAAATCCTTGGCCACCATTTTGAAGTAATTAAAATGCAGTGTGCTGTCTGCACACCTAAAGACCAGCTCTCATTACCTGTGAGAAGAGGGGATACCCGGCGTGGTTAACAGCAGGATGTAAACTCCAGCTCGGTCACGCGCCAGCTGTGGGATTTGAGGAAGGTCACTTAACCCCTCCGTGCCCGGATCGCCTCGACTGTAAGATGGGGTAACAGTGGTCTCCTGGAGTAGGGAGAAGACCGAGGGGGTTCTCCTGTGTGAAACGCTAGAAGGGGTGCGAGGGCTCAGCGGTGAGTGTTAATTACCAGCATGCCTGCGTGGCTTTCACAGATGAATGGAAAGGAAGGAAGCACAGGAGGAAGTGATAAAATCCCAAAGCTGTGTCTGGAAAAGAATGTTTGAATAAATAACGGAAAACCACTTTTACTTTCCAGTAAAATGTGCGAAGATAGCACACATAACCTAAACAGTCCCTTGTTCACAAGCAGCTGGTTACGGCAGAAGCTGTAAAACGCTGAGGGGAGGAGACTGATCCGTGATTGAGCATTGGAAGCCAGAGATCCCTGGAGTATCTTATGGCTTCATTATTTTTAATTGCGGGAATTGATTAAACGGGGATTAGAAAACAGAGTGAGGCAGTTGCTTTCTTTCATTTATGAATTAGAATACTTCCTCGATCCTACTTTTTTACGGTCTTTCCTGTGCCTCTTGCTTTCAAAAGCACCCAGGGAGTGGTAGCACGCTGCTGTAATCCTTTTGAGTCTACATGAAAATAAAACTATGACACTATATTCCTATGATTTTAAGTATTTATTTGTGAATAAACGGCTACAGTTGCAAAATCTCTGTTTCAAAAGATCCAGCGTTAGTAGACTAGGGAGGAGTGCCTTCTGCGGTGGGAGTGCAGTGAAACACAGGTTGTCAGACTCGCCTCGCGGACACCGCGCCCATAGCTTTGGCTTGAAGCACACGACACCTGTGCGCTCACTCCCTCGTACCCCCAGGAGACGCTTCAGTGATCATTCTTCCACAGATAAATGCCGTGGCAGTAGAGAATTATAGAATACATAGTGAGTTTTCCAAATTGCTCAGTTTCAAAAATAGCTTATTATCACATCTAAGTTTATGCTTATGTCCACATGGTCTATACTCAGTGGTGTCTAAGGCCTGCCTGGGGAAAATGAGGGGCAAGCTCAATCCGGTCTACACCTGCCCAAGCAGGGCCTGGCTCCGGGTGGGAGAAGGAAGGTGCATTCTAGGCCTCTGCAGGGTGCTGCTCTACACGTACCGACCCCAAGACAGAAACTTCCTTACAAAGAGCAGAAAATTACTCTGTTCTTGCGGAGGGAGCACTGTCTTCCGTGGTGAAGCAAGAAAACAGAGAATCTCCCAGCCGGAAGCCAGAACTGGAATGCCAAGGATGAACAGATGGAGACTGGAGAGCGAGACAGAATGTCAGGACGGCGTTGCCCGTTCTCAGCTTGGAGGAAGGGGAAACCTGGACCTTGGCTATGCCGGCAGTTGACAAACTGGGCAAAACCCCCTAAGGTGCTGAAGAACTCTCTGAGATTTTAAAAAAACATCTTTACCACCCCCACTTTTGAAACATTTCCTGCTGCTGGGGAAGCATTGCCCGTCCTCAGCGGGAAGGGGGCGGCTGCCTCGGTGGTGCAACTCGTACGTAACACAGGCACATTTGTAGAGGTCTCTCACCCTGAGCTGCTTGGCGAGGCTCTGCTCAGTGTGGCTTGAGTCTAATCTACATGGTTAAGTGTAGGTGTAAGTCTAACCTGTGCGTCCTAGGTTAGCGGAGTGTTGGGCCAGAGCGGCACTGGCGTTGTGCACCCGACCCTGTAGTGAGCCCATGGGTTGCGTGTGGTTGTGGCCCATAGGTTTTTTCGTTTTCTTTTCTACCACTTCTATTTGGAAGTTCTAATGTTTAAAAGATCTAAGATTTCAGTATACCAAGGTGGTATTTCAGGATCTACAATCCAGGTGAGTTGTGCTATTGTTGCAGAAAGCAGAACAAACACGGGAAGAAATGGCACCGAGGAGGTTTAGGACGCAGTTTATTATGCCAGTGGGCTTCTGACTGGGAGCTCTCCCGAAGAGTCAGAACCCTGCCCCTTTGGCTTGTGGGGATTTTAAAGGGAAAGTGAGCGGGGAGGTACAGAGCGGAGGTACAGATTTGGTGCACATGATTGGAGGGTTGGGTGACCTCACGTTGCCGAAGGAGTTACATATCTAGCTCACTTTACAAGGCCATTAGTTAAACAGGCATGCGTTACACAAAGGAAGAAGTGCTCCCTTATGTTTGTTTTTGTTTTGTTTTTTTTTTTTTTTGTTTTTTTTCCGGTACCGGGAACCGAACTCACGACCTTGCGCTTGCCAGGCAAGCGCTTTGCCGCTGAGCTAAATCCCCAGCCCCGCTCCCTTATGTTTGAAGTTACACTGCATGATCATTGGTCACAAAGGCAGCAAAGACAGAGTTTACACAGGGAGAAGTGCTCTGTTATCGGGCCTGCCGGACATGTCCGCTTGGACTTGGTGGGCATCCTGGGCAGGGTTTTATTTAAAGGTTTAATCTTTCCCTTTCACTGTGGATGTGTTGAGAGCTTTTGGACAAGCTGGTCACTGCGTCCAGCTCGGAGCTGTTCTGAGTGTGGAAGGGCTGTCCCACGAAGGAACCTCCTTCCAGCAGGGAAGTGACGCGGCCTGGAGGAGGAGCGTGTTGCCCCGACAGTTAATGGAAACTGTTAAAATTATGATAGTATTCCCAGGGCGGTGCAGCATTTCTGATGACTGGATGTTGAATTCTCGGATCTGTGTGACCAGTAGACAACGTTTCCTTCATTTCTCCGTAGTCTGAGAAGAAAACCCTTGTGTCCACCCCTGTGCTGTCTAGCAGTGGGGTTGTGAGCTGCCCTCGCTCTAACTGGCTTCCTCTGCCCATGCTGTTCCCCTCTCCGGGAGCCACCGTTCGCAGCCCAGCTGCACACTCAGATCCCCGGGCAGCTTTTACAACCCCCACCTCCCCTGGTCCCAGCCAGACCAATTAAGCCAGACTCGGACACCACTGGCTTCTCAGCTCTCCAGGAGATCCCAGGAGCAGCCAAGGCTGCCAGCCTCTGTCTCCTGTCCCCCACTGGCTCCCTACAGGCTGTCCTGTGAGCTTCAGCTCGACGCCCTTTCCTTGGGCGATGCCTCCTGGCTCCCTGAGCTGACTGGATGCCCTTCCTCTGCGCCCCGGGTGCCTCCTGTTTCCCAGTCAGGTGGGTTGCAAGGGAAGAGGGTAGAAGTAGGGCAAACCTTGCAGCCCACGGAGGCATTGCATAGTCGGTGTGCGTGGGATTCTGCAGTCAGTCCAGTGTGGTGAAAACACCCACGAAGGGAGTGGAGTGGGAGGTCTAAGACACAGGTACAGACCTCACCTGGAGATACGGGGCCACACAGAATCACTAAAGCAAGGGTTCCGATGGAAGCCGTACTCAAGATGTTTCATGGGCTTGGGGATCCTTTGGGGGCTGCAGCCGGGAAGTTGCTGTGGTTTATTCCTGGGGGTGTGGAGGGTCCACGCAGGAGGGAAGCAGCAGACTGAGAGGGCTGAGTCATGGAGCATAAATAAACATTTATGAGCAGTGTAGTCTTGAGCGTGCAGACCTTATTCCACGGCTGGAAGAGATTGTGGGAGTAGTGCAGTGACTCGGTTGGTCCTTGCTTTTTAAAAATAGAGACCTGGAACATGTTGACCTATTTGTGGGAAAGAACTAGGAGAGGAAGAATTTAGAGATGTGAGTGACGGAGAGAGATCTGCTTGTAGGAGCAGTTAGACAGCCTCCCAAAGGACACCACGAAAAGGCCAGCTTCTTAGCACACAGTGGTGGCCCATCCTCACATTGTAAAACACTCCGTGAGTGACAAGAGCCCAGAGTTCATTTTTGTCATTGCTCACTGTGTAAGATTTCCTTTATTGGGGCACTGCTAGGGTCCTTAAAATGTAAATTAGCCAGTCCAGTCAATGTGAAGGATTGCTTTCAACCTGATTCTTACTGATTGTAGCATTAAAGTTTTCAATCAGACCATTTTAAAATGAGAATACATTGATCACCAGACAAATCCTTTGAAGTATAACAATTCCAAATGTGACAAACTTGTGGGTTCTTAATCCAACCATCTTGCTCTCCTATATCTCTGATTATCACCACCAGCCTCTAGGAGTTCCACTAGCATGCACACTACTCCAGAGGTGGCCTTTCTTTTAGGGTTAGCGCGTGAGGCATGTGAGCAGAGGTTTTCTCAGCAAAAACCCTGATGCATTTTAAAAATATATTCTTCATGTCCAGGTAACATTATTAAACTTCATGATCACCCCGGAGGGCATGCAAGACCAGCTGCTGGGCATCGTGGTGGCGAGAGAGAGGCCAGACCTTGAGGAAGAAAAGCAAGCGCTGATACTGCAGGGAGCCGAAAACAAAAGGTTTGAAATGTCCTAAAACACAGAATTATCTTCATTGGTTTTGAGATCACTTAGAATGAATTAAAGTACATTTTAAAGACCAACTGTGTTACATTTAATTGGTGTGCCATGTGGGAAAATTCTGGAAGTAAGAAATGACAGTGCTTCTGTCTTAAACTTGGAAAGCTGGGTATTACTGAGTGTGTTTTCATGTGAAGGTTCTTAGACACCGGAAGAACTAGAAAACCTGCCACAAGTCAAGGCGATGTATTTTCAACTCTTCAACCAAGTTTTGGCACAAAAACTTGGGCACTTGCCTGTTTTGCTGGAGAGTGGTGTGAATGGCAGTGTTGTGGCCCACTTCCTACTTATAATATCTACATCATAGATAGGACACGGCTCGAGAAGCTCTGTGAGATTTCAGGAAACAAATGTTCACTCCTAGCTGAGATCCTGGATGGCAGAGGAGAGTGGCCCGCCGTATTTCTCTCTAGGGACCCCACTAATGGTCATTAGAGAAGGAACTGGAGCAGGAAGGCCCATCTTAGTGACATTTGGCAAGATAAGACATTAATTATACGTCACAAATTGATACATTTCTTTAGATTACAGGCTCTTGCTCCTTATAAAAGAACGTGTGCGTGAAGTGATTTTAAATGATTCCCCTTTCTTCTGAGAAAAGTGTGTTTTATTTCAGGCAGTTAAAAGAAATAGAAGACAAGATTTTAGAAGTTCTTTCATCTTCAGAAGGCAATATATTAGAGGATGAAACTGCTATTAAGATATTATCTTCCTCCAAGGCTTTGGCTAATGAGATTTCTCAGAAGCAGGAGGTAGCTGAAGACACGGAGAAAAAGATCGACAACACCCGCATGGGCTACCGCCCTATCGCCGTCCACTCCTCCATCCTCTTCTTCTCCATTGCTGACTTAGCCAACATTGAGCCCATGTACCAGTATTCACTCCTCTGGTTTATTAACCTTTTCATCCTGTCTATTGAGAATTCAGAGAAATCCGAACACTTAGCAGTAAGGTATGTAAAAAAATATTAATTAACACTAAGTAGTTACAGTCTGAAGATCAGTAATTTCTGGCTTCCACTGTTGTTTTTGAATGATGTGAGCATTACAGACACTTACCCAAAATGAACTTGATTAATCACTTTACAGAAATAAACTTGCGTCAGAAATTTAACAGATGTGTCCAAATTTAGTCAGCTGAGACATTGTTTACAGAGATATGGGATCGTGATATAAGTCTCCAAGAAGGAACATTTACCTCTACTGATCCAGCAAAATATGTTAGTGATCAAACGCATGGAAAAAGTAGTCAATACCCAAAAAGAGAGGGCTTGTGCTTTTGAGTTTGCCTGCTCAAAACTGCGTCCTTCACGTTTAGATGTGTACATACAACTTGTCAGGTCTAACGGTAGAAGGCCCCAAGCCTCATTATTACTTGTGGTAACCAAAACCTCTTTTATGTGATACTTATCTATATAAAATACCTCATTCTAGGCGGGCTTGGTGATGCACACCGGTGATCCCGGTGCTCAGGAAACTGAGGCAGGAGGATCACTGTGAGTTCGAGGCTGGCCTAGGCTACAACGTGAATTCAAGGCTAGCCTAGACTAAGAGCCAGACCTTGTCTCAAACAAAACAGAACAACCAAGAGAACCCCAAAACAACTCATTCTACTGTTCGCTATTATAATAAATAATGGGATTAAAACCTTAATAGTAAATCTATGAGGGGATAAAATTCTTTTGATTTGTTATCAGTGAGATAATTTTCAGCTTGGTATTAAAGCATGTTTTTAATAGGCTCCAATGTGAAATTACTTTTTGAAGAAAATTAATAATAACTGCAACTTTTGCCTTTTATCAACTTCTTTTTCATTAAACTTTAGTTTCTTTACTATCCGTATTCATTTGAGGAAACTTCATTGAATAGTTGTCACTCACAGTTCAAAATTATTCTTAGGAAATTCATGACACTAATCTCACTGAAATTGAATTCTTTCCTTTATCAAGGTGAGGACTGAAATTCTTGAGTATTCTTAGACTAAGCAATATTGTGTTCCTATCATTCATCATTTTGCAAGCTTGAATACTAGACTAATAAAAGTACACAGGTGATATGTTGGGCATGGGAAAGGTGATTTCAGGTACTGGCACTTGATAAAGAGAAGGAAAGGGGAGAAATTAAATTCTTAGCACTTATTTCAGCTGATTGCACTGTAGCCATGTAGTAAATAATGTTCTGCTTTTATCACAGTTCTTAAATTCTACCTTGGTTAAAAGAGTAATCACTAGAATGTTGTTCTCTAACTAGTTTTAAATCCAAGTTATTTGCTGGCATCTGGAGAAAAAAATTTCTTTGGTCTGTCATTTAAAGACCTATTTCTGCATGAGATGTAAAAGATAGAACAATTCCCATTCTTTGAACATCTCTTGATCATTTATTTTCTCTTGTTATATCAAATTAGAACTCACCCAAGATAGGGCTTTTGTTTCTTCACAGTTGTAGTATAGAGCCCTGCATTAATCACATTCCCATTGCTAGGGCAAAATAACCGACACCTACAACTTAAAGGAGGAGATGCCCATTTTGGGTCACGATTTTGGTGGGTTCAGTCCATGGTCAGCTGCTCCAGGCATGAATGGCAGGGAAGAGGGCCTGAGGGAGGAAGCTGCTCATGTCACAGTGGCCAGGAAGCAAAGAGGGGAGGAGCAAGGACAAAGGCACACCTTCCAGGCCTGGCCCCAGTGACCCACCTTCAACCAGGCCCGCCTCCCAACAGTGCACTCAGCCATGAAATTCATCAATGGATGAACCCACTGGTGACACAGGCTCCGTGATGCAAGCACTTTTCACAAGCATGAGACTCGCGGGGGGCATCATTTTAGATCTAAACCACCATAAACCCTTTAAGATTTAAAGAAAACCAAATCATTTTTTACCCACATGAGAGATGTGAATGACATCTGGAAATCAAACATGGCTTTTTCTTTGAGTTAAATTCCTTAATTTAGAAACAGTGAGGATCATGTGTATGACTATAGAAACCCAAAGGATAATTCTGGAATCAAAGACTAGAGGAAACAGATTTTAAAGCCTTCATAGAAGTTACTGACAGAGCTGCAGAAGTGTGCAGAAATCGGAACTGTCTCCCGATGGATCTTTGTGAGTGCACCTAGCTCAGGACAGAATGTCGTCAACAGCCTGGGAACCCCCTCGCCTTCCTTTCTAGGCGCCAACTCCCTCCCGGGGGCCCCATCCCTGTTTCAGACCTCAGGTCAGCAGGGTCCCTTGGGGGCTCTGCTGGGTCGAGCCTCTGCTCCCAACACAGTTTGTGAAACTCACGCTTACTGTTCAGGACAGCATGGTGCCCTGTTCACCGTCACTCTTAGACACCTCTCCACTGCATTCCACAGATGGGGCGCATAACTAAACCCTAAATCTTCCCCCAACACAGGAATTCTCTGCAACAGCAGCATAGAGAGAGAGCAGTTTCATTATCGAATGAACATTAAACCAGCATGTGCTGCTCACCACAGGCAGGCAGCAAAGAGGCTGCAGAGCACAAAGGACCCCCGCCCCCCAGAACAGCTGGCAGATGGGACGCCTGGGGTGACCCTGGCTGCTTATCCTAGCTCTACCTGCTCCATCTGTGTGTGCAAATGAGCTCTATCCCGAGGGAAGACTCGATTTCCACACCTGCATGATAGAAGGGGGTTCGAAGCTCAGAGACCCTGCTGGGTGGAGGCCCTCAACCCTTGACCTTTACGTCACAAAGAGACCCACAGCACCCACAGAGGCCTGCCTAGTTTTCCAAAGGATTTACACACATTTCAGAGAGAGGGAGGAAGAGGCACTGGCAGTTGTAGGTTCTCTTACATCAATGCTGTCAGGAAGCAGAGGGAAGGGGAATAGGTCTCCTTATTTTCAGTAGGGGAAGTAAGCTGCTCATTTTTAATGCTTCTCCTAACACTGTGCCCCAAAGTATCCATTCTGCTGTTGAGCATATTTGCTTCCAGTTTGGGGCTATTATGAACTTTTGCTGCCTTCAGCATTCCTGTCTGTGGCCTTTTGTGCAGATGTGTACACATCTATGGCAGCTGCGCATCTGGAAACAGACCTGATGGTTGGAGGGCACGCATACGGCCCCTTCTAGTCCCCACCGCTGAACAGTTTTCCAAAGTGGCTGCACCAAGACAGACTCTTTTAGCCAGCCCTGCCCAACACGTTCACCACGGGGCTGTAATTCGTGTCTCACTGCCAGGCAGTTCTGAACCGTGGGTGGCACATGCACAACGGTGCCATCAGACAGCATGGGGGGTCCCATCAGGGGGTAGCATGGGACAGTCCCAAACCACCCAACGGGACAGTCATGCATGTACCTCCGGTGGTTCAAGCTGATGCAAACGTGTTAATCTTTTTTTTTCTCCAGTGAAATGAGTTTCCAATTAAGAATCCAGCTGCCAGATCAAAAATTTGAGAAAATTTATTCTTATCAGAATGAGAATAGTTTGTTTGCCTACCAATCACTAATAAACATCAGATAACTGCCGAGTTCCCGATTTTGGACTATCACTATACCCAAAGTATAGGAATCACGTGACTATTAATACTAGCCTGCCAAAATCAGACTCTTACGTTGGTCTAAAATTGTTTCTTAGTTCCTTTTACTCAGGTGTATAAATATGTTTCATTCTTGTTTGTCTTCTGATGGGTGTTATTCATAATAATTATTTAAGTATGACACTAAGAATATGTTATGACTGCTATGGTAGATACTGTGAATTGCCATACTAATTTGTATTGTCTGTTAAAACTAAATAGATTAGAATTTATGTAGCAGAATAAATAACTAGCAAGAAAAATAAAACGTGTAAGTAGAGAAACAAATTTCTAAGATATAGTTTTGTTACAGAAGCCAAACTCAAATCTATCCTCATATAAATGTGTATATATGTGTAAATTTGTACACATGCAGTTTTTCTTTTCCTTCCACTTATACCAAGATAATATTCTTCCAAAACATTTTTAGTATTTGCACAATATTACCATTTTTGCGAATATTGCATAATTTTCTTTTTTAAGACTTATTGTCTCCAGCCTTTGTATTAAGAATATTGCTGTGATAAATATAAATATCCATACCATTAATTATTTCCTAAGGCTAACTCCATTTTATCACTAGTGATATTGAACTTCTAATGTGACTGACCCTTGCAGTAAAAATCTCCCCTTTGGTCTTTTTATCTATGAGAACAAATTTGTCTCAGAATGCAGAGAATTTTATTTTATTCTATAAAAACTAAGTCTGAGCGTGAGTTACACTGTTATGGGTGAGACACATTAAACCCCGTGTGTGAAGAGACTGTTAGCATACGAACGGGAGCAGGGATAGTGTGATTACTCAAATCTTGTATGAATTTAACAGTATTTCAGCAACCATTCGCCAGGCCTTCCCTACCAAACTTCCTTCCAGAGTCCTCAGCGAGAATTAATGTCCATCCATTCGCCCTTCTCTCTTTGGGCTGCTGGCAGTGGTGCAGTTCAGGAAAAGGCAAGTAAAGAAAAAGTCAGCGAAGAGCGACAGTCCACAGAGAGCACCCATCTGGCCGTAGCAGTAGATTTTTCTTCCAACTACGTGAAGAAACACCGCGTAATCTTGCTTAATCGTAATCCAACTATCTTGAGTTTCCTTAAGATAAATTGAACTGCTTCGTAAGTTTGGGCCATTACTCCATGCCAGTTAGTAGCTCTCTGCAAATGATTTCTGTCAACTGCTCTTTTCTGTTATAATTTTTCTAATCTATGTAATGAAAGCATTTGTAAATTTTGATTTCAATAATTATTTCCTGTGATAATTAAGTTCAAATGCATAAAGCGTTACACTGATAAGATGGTTCTGAATACAGATCGCACGTGTTAGCACCTGCTAGAGAGTTGTTAGTTGCCAGTACTATGGTTGTTATAGCCATCTCCAGGGTTGGTCTGTACGACTAATAAAAATGTAGTATAATCAGGTTGTGGCATCTCCAGCTTTTATGGACCTATGAGTAGAGTAACACAAGATGAAATTTGCTGTTAATTTAATAAAGGAATCATTAGTATTATTGTGTTCACTTAATATATAGTATAAAATATTTGGAAGTATTTCTGTGATAAACTGGTCAAATTTTACCCCAGAATGCTTTGTAGTTGACAATAGTCCATAGATCATTGTGTGTAATAGGTTAATATGCCGTACAGTGACTTCTTTCCAAAAGAAAGATTAAATTTTTTTAGACAAATAGTCAACAGAAAAATAGCATTCCAATAAGGTGTTTCTACATTGGGTAGCTCGCAGACTGACCCACAGTTAATGAAGATCTTGCTTGTTTGGCCACTAACTGACCAGGAAGTTTATTAGAAAAACATAGATTTACACGGTTTACAATGGGTTTTCTTAAGACCATGGTTTTTTCTATAGAACATACTTTGATTACTCACTGTTCTTCTATTCCCGCCTAGGCTTCAGATTCTCCGGGACCATTTTACTTACTCTCTGTACGTGAATGTCTGTCGGTCACTCTTTGAAAAGGACAAGCTACTCTTCTCCTTCTGCCTAACTGCGAATCTTCTTATCCATGACCATGTGGTCAGTACTGTCTTAATTTGTAAGGACAAAAAAAGCTATAATGCTAACACTGATTTACTGATTTACTAATTTGCATGGGAATATATACATAAAGGTTGCAAACAGTTAAACAATGGTGCTACTCATTTTTTAGTTAAGGTGAGGCATGACAAGACTGAGTTTCACAGAAGTAGAATGTAATTAAGCACAAAGTTGATTATGTTAGCACTTAAATTTTGATATGTTTTTGTTTAAAAGAAACCTATTTTTATTAAAATCTCATACAGTAGTACATATAAATTTACTAAATATATTTATATATATTAGGTATAAATAGGTAATAGAATAAATGGTAATGTTTTAGGAACTTATTCAAGTTAATCAGATCTAACAATTTGGACTTACTGATATCTTACGTAAATTTTTGTTGTATTTTAAATCTATTCATTTAAAATACAGGAAACACTTTAAGAATTGAGGAGAAGTATTGTGTAAAATCACTATTTTATACACTTATGTGTTTATCACTTTCATATGGTAAAGTATTAGTTGAATTGTGAGGATAAAGGGTTTATTCCTTGCAGTTGTGCAAAAGTTTCATGGTAACCATCATATTTTATGAAAAATGATTGGAAATATGGCAGAGGAATGGTTGTCTTTCTCTGTGCAGTTTCTCCAGTCAACAGAAGTGTAAGTAAGAGCAGATACTCAGATATATCCAGACTTTCGTGTGTAATCTAGTAATCTGGAGTAAAATAATGAAAAAGTTATTTAAAATGTAACTCTTTTGAAAACTAGTTATAACAGATGTTTTAGCTTCTTATGGCTAAATACTGAACTGTATGGGTGGTAGAATTTCACAGAGACCATATCTGACCCTTGCAAAACAACACACAGCTAACTCTTAAAATGCTATAAACTCGTTCATGATTAATCCACTTCTGAGTCCTTGTGCTGTCGTCTTGTTTTCCAAAGATCAATAAAGCTGAGTGGAGATTTCTGCTGACCGGTGGCATTGGACTGGATAATCCTTATGCCAATCCTTGCACATGGCTTCCTCAAAAATCCTGGGATGAGATCTGTCGATTAGACGACTTGCCTGCCTTCAGAACCATTCGCAAGGAATTCATGCACTTGAAGGATGGATGGAAAAAAGTATATGACAGTTTGGTATGTTTTAATCTTCTGGCTTTATTCCAAACTTTTTGAATACATGATTAACAATACATATTATATTTGCATAAAAGCAAGATTTAAATAAGTTTTAAGCAACCAGGCAGATATTAAAGTGTAAGTTTGGTTCCTGTTACTTCCACCTTCCGCCCGTTTTTAATTGGGTTTACCCACGTTTTCTTTGCTCACCTCTTGTAGTTAATAATGAGGCCGTGTGTGCACAGGAATTCGCATTTTTGGTACGGATTTCTTTTGATTGTTCCTTATTACTAATGAAAATATGTTTCCTAGAAACAAATATGTTTTGTGAGTGCTTCTTTCTGTGGCTCTAGTTGGAACTGCACTCAGCCGGGCGTGGTGGCGCACGCCTGTAATCTTAGCACTCGGGAGGCTGACACAGAACAGTGCATTCAGTTCAAGGCCAGCCTGGACTACATAGTGCATTCAGGGCACGGAAAAACCAAACAAAACGAACCTTCCACTCAAAGCCCCCGGGGTGAACGTACGGAGAGGCACAGCAAGGGTGTGGTCTTGCTGAACTTCCACGCCGCAGTTTTATTCATTATCAGTTTAGATTTTGAGAGTCTTGGTAGCAGGTGAGTTAGAATTTTATTGAAAGGCTGTTTAGATTTTCTGGATGCAGACTATAAGCTAATACACATTTTTGGGTTTTGAGAAAAATGAAAAGCTAGTAGTTCCAAACACTCTTCACACCCCTTGTCTTGCTAACTGGGGGAAATCAGAGTTGACAGATGCCATAGTCTTCACCAGCTCCCGTGTGGGACCCATGTGTGTAGCAGTCTCTGCCTTCTTTCAGGTTTTCTGTAGCACAAGAGAGAATCTTTTTCCAGTTCTCACTCTGTCTTTTGCTGTTCCTTTTTTTTTTCTCCTACTGCTTCCACCTTTTACTTTCCTTGGGTATACTACGCAAGAGTTCTAGAGAAATATGGAGAAGAGAAAGGTCTAGAGAGATGGAAAGCATTTTTTATTGGGTTTACCCATGCTTTATTTGGTCACCTCTTGCACTTGATAATGAGGTGGTGTCTGTACAGGAATTCACATATTTGGTGTGGATCTCCTTTGATTGCTCCTTACTAGTATGAAAACATGCTTCCTAGGAACCAGTATGTTTTGTAAATGTTTCTTTCTAATGGAAAGTAGACACTTTCCTCGCTGTGCTGACACGTGGAGGTTTCTCTCCTTTTTTGTTACTGCACATTGAACTCAGGACCTTGTGCTTGCCAGGGAGGCGTGGTTCTGCTGAGCTATAATCCCAGCAGAGGTTCCATTTTTATTTTTATTTTTTATTTTTTATTTTATTTTATTTTTTTTTGGTTTTTCTCCAGTACCGGGAACCGAACTCACGACCTTGCGCTTGCCAGGCAGGTGCTTTGCTGATGAGCTAAATCCCCAGCCCCTATTTTTTATTTTTAACGTGGAGATTCTGGGTAGAGAAACCACACAGCACACCTGAAGTGGCAGAGGTCCATGTGTTGATATCAACATGCTGCATTTTGATTTCTCTGGGATGTTCTGAATTTTCTTACCATTACTGACTTTATGCCTTGATCTTAGCTTTCACAATAGAATTTATATAAACATACTTGATTTCAGTGAGTTATTATGTCTTCTTTCTAAAAATTGTTTTATATGTCAAAATACACTATTCCCTTCAGACATAATCACTAACAGTAAATTATATGCTCTATACCCTTAGGAGCCACACCACGAGGTTTTCCCGGAAGAGTGGGAAAATAAGGCAAATGAATTTCAGAGGATGCTTATCATCCGTTGCTTGAGACCAGACAAGGTAAATGTGGGCCTTGGGAAGTAGCCCCACAAGTCCTTCCCTCCTGTCTGTGCCGTCCTCCCATCAAAGGTGCATTTCCTTGGTAATCACCCAATGCAGAGCACCCTGCTTCTAGTGTAGCCCTTTTCCCAAAAGTTTGATTACTTTTTAAAACCATTCTAAATTAGTAACTAACCAGATGATGTTTTAGTTTTATTTTTTGACTGTTCTTTATTTTCCATCCATCCATGTATCCATGTAACCATGCATCTGTCTACCTGCCTGCCTACCTACCTACCTGCCTACCTGCCTTCCTATCTACCTATCTGCCTGCCTACCTGCCTTCCTATCTACCTGCCTGCCTGCCTACCTGCCTGCCTACCTACCTACCTACCTGCCTACCTGCCTGCCTGCCTACCTACCTGCCTACCTGCCTGCCTGCCTACCTACCTGCCTACCTGCCTTCCTATCTATCTACCTGCCTGCCTACCTGCCTTCCTATCTACCTACCTCCCTACCTGCCTACCTACCTACATGCCTACCTGCCTGCCTGCCTGCCTACCTACCTTCCTACCTGCCTACCTGCCTTCCTATCTACCTACCTGCCTACCTACCTACCTACCTGCCTACCTGCCTGCCTGCCTACCTGCCTGCCTGCCTACCTGCCTACCTGCCTTCCTATCTACCTACCTACCTGCCTGCCTACCTGCCTTCCTATCTACCTGCTTGCCTGCCTTCCTATCTACCTACCTACCTACCTGCCTGCCTACCTACCTGCCTGCCTACCTGCCTGCCTGCCTATCTGGATATCCTTTCATCCTTTAGAAAGCAAGTAAAATACTTATTGTTGTTAGGATATTCATCATTGTTGACAACAAAGGAAAATATCAGTAATGTTACTTTTAACCTCTTTCAATAATAAATTATGTAACCAGCAAGCCAGCGGCCCTGTCCTTCCAGCAAATCCCAATACTCATGGACATCATCATTTGTATCATAGTCTTTGTATGAAATAAAGTATACTGACCCATATCCACAGATTTCAGCAGACTCTGAATAATATAAATAGTGTACATCTTGGGAAAATATCCTAACCATCCACTGTTACTATTCAAATAAAAGTTTTACATAATCATTTCAAAATGTACTATATTCACAGTTGATTTAATGAACACAAAATATCTTTAAAGCAAAACTTAAATAGTGAAATTAATATATTTAAAAATTCTTGCTGGATGTGGTGTCACATCCCTATAATCCCAGCTCTTGGGAGGCTGAGGCAGGAGGACCGCTGTGAGTTTGAGGCCAACCTGGACTACATAGCAAGACTCTTTCTCCAAAAGTGAAGGGAAAAAAATCTTACACACCTCAGTGATAACACAGGGTGGAGGCACTTTTTCAGTGAACACAGCTTGCTCTTGTGTGACTTAGCAGTGTCTTCTTAGCTGCACACACAATGGGGCCCGTGATACTTTCAAGGCCCGTTACAGTGTTTTAATTTAAAATCAGAAGTCTGTTCTTCAGCTGGTAGCATCTCTATCTTTATATAAATATGACTGTGAAGTACAATTTCAACACTCATATTTTTGCGTGAGAGGCCCACGCGTGGCCAGGCTGGGTAGGCCTGACGTCCCTCCCACCCCTGGTGCTGGAGGGCCTGTGGCAGTCTGGCTTTCACCGTGAGCCCAAGGAAGCAGCCTGCCCCTCTGAGCCCTTTAGAGAACGAGTTTTCATTAAAAATTTAGTGGGAAGCCTCAGAGGTCTCTGCTTCAAGTAGTAACGACGGGAGAAAATGAAGTGCTTCCAGTGCTTGCTCCATACAGCTTTCCCTCCTAAAGCCTTTCGTCCAAATGCTCAGTTTTCACCTGTTCCCTAAGCGAAAGACTGTTCCCGAAGCCTGGCCTGGAGTGCCACTGACTTCCTCCCTCGGAACCCGGGGCACAAGCTTTGTGTTTTGTACTGCTCAATGAAAAGGGATCGCCGAACTATGTCCAAATTGTGCCAGTTTCTTTTCACAAATATCTTTCCTCCAGCTTTATATTTTCAAAAATTTGACACTTCCGTCTGATGACATATTGAGTGTCAAATAGACCAAGTGCTACTTTCCACGTTCGTGGTCTCTCTGAAGTGTACTGGGAGTTATGTCTCCAAGCTAAGGGTTTCTGAAGCGGGATGCTTTTCCTTTCGGTTTGTATTTTTTGTTTGTTTTTAAGTCAGTGGAAGTTGAACTTGGACTGAGTCCTTCCTCGGCTGCTCTGCACACCTTCAGCCCTCCGTCTTAGAACTTCTCCACACACGTCCACCAGTCTCCCCGGGGGCCTGGCCACCTTGCTTGGCTGGGTGCACGAGTGTGTACCAACACTGCTCTCACTGACGTCCCGGCTCTTCTCTGTGCACGCTTGAGGAGGCTCGTGGCCCCAGACCCCGCTTTGCCAGTCACAGGTGAACAACGGCGGCAGGACGGAGACATTCATCTCCCTGCCTCAAAGCCGCCAATCACGGGTCGGTGCTCACGAGGCAGGGGCGGGCGGGACAGCGGGGTCTGCGCATGAGTTACACACACACCCAGGTGGCTTGCAGGGTCAGGAAATAAGCTGTCACTGGGTGAAGCCACTGCCGTTTAGTACCTGTGCAAGTACAGCTGAACTCGGTCTATCCTGAGGGGCACAGGGAACGCATTACCGTTATCTACACCATCACGCCACGCCCGTCACACAAAAGCAGCTAGCGGGGTGCCAGCAAGTTCAACCCTTCGACCGTACTGTTACCAGCACTCTAATTTCTGGTGTGAGTTGGTGACAATGGAATGTATGTAGCATAAAATGGTATTTGGCTGTTAGACTTTGAAAGGGTATTTTCCAGCATGGAGCAGTATGATCACCTCACTATGGTAGAGTGATAACAGTATGGTATGACCATCACACCAGTGCTGTAGGGGCTGACGTTTAAGCTAGCAGTCTATGCAGTATTTTCTTTGCCACCTCTAGGTCAAATAATAATATGCATACCTCCGAGGCAAATTGTTGACTGATGGATCTCTAGCTTATAATGCACTTAGCATAGTTTTGGGGGGGTCTCTTTTTCTGTTTTCTCCCCTTAAGACCCAACTCCCTGCAGTGGAAAGAAGCCACAGTACCAGACTCTCTCATGCTGTGGTTTGGAAAAGTGTGAAAGATTCTCACTGAATCACCGGCAGGAGAAACGAGGCAGAGGCAGGGTTACACTTTCCTTCAGAAGCAAGTAGCTGATTGTGTTTTGTTGACAAAAGAAACATCAAAGGGCTAAATGCTGATGGGTGGAATGTTTGGAGTCCATTTACAAAATGAAGAGCCCTGGCCCTCGCTCCATGTCTCTGAACTGCAAATGAGAAGCATATTAATCGGCTTTCAATGAGAAATGTGTCAAATATAAGTTAACACATTTCTGTGACCTCAGATCAATCCTGTAGGAATTTGCAGTAAAGAGAAAAAGCGTACACAGGCAGCCGCACACGTACTTCCCGCCTCCGGGAGGATGGTTGCCTGCATGAGCCCGTAATGTTGTTACTGACAGATTTGGTTTCACAAACCTAACATGGGCGTGATCAGACCGCAGAAGCCCTGCACACCGAACAGCCAGGGTGGTTCTGTTCTCCTCGGAACTGAGCGGTCCAGCGCTGGGAGCCGGCATGTTGGTTCAGTTCCCCACGCAGGCCAGCAGCGGGGTTTGCTGCTGCCATCCTCGGGAGCACGGCCCTCGCTGGCCTCCCAGTGCCATGGACAGGATTCGGGGCTGGGCAGCCGCGCCCGGCGTCCACCTGCTTTTGACGTTGCTCCTAAAACTCTAGTTTCTGAAGATGCTGGCCTCAGGAGGAAAGAAGTTAGGAAATCAATGATTTCTTCTCTTTTCTTCATTATGTTTTTAAATTGAGCTAACGGAGAGGAACAATAGCGAGAAGGACCGGCCAGGACCCAGGCCAGGGCTGGACACTTTCAGTCCCCGCGGGAAACCAGCAGCCCTGCTGGTGCAGATCTCCTGAAACAGGAAGTAGCTTATCTAGAAAGGAAACACTCTGCAGAGGTGAATGTATTGTCCTTTGACTCTCTGGTTAGAATTTCTGTAACTAGAGACCCCCCCATCAACTGCTCTGAGCCCGTTACCCATTTGCCATTCAGTAGGAATTGGCTGTGCTCAAACAACACGTCCTCTCGCTGTGGCTTTTACGCACGCTGCTCCTCATCCGCACCTTGTTCAGGTTTGAGTGACGAAGAAAATAGTGAGATTAAAATGTCGAATTTGAGACCAGGTCATCCTTCACTGGTTCTCAGCTCCTTGACATGTGACATGTCAGTGATTTTTTCTTACAAGCCTGCGTAAACAGCTGTGGCAGGGAGCGCACAAGTGAAGTTTAGAAATACTTTTTCCAGACGATTTCTTGTTCGTTTGTTTGTTTTTTGCGGTGTTTGAGTTCAAACACAGGAGTATTCTACTGCTGAACTACATCCCCAGCCCTTTTTAGTTTTTATTTTGAGACAGGGTCTCTTGAAGTTGCCTTGGTGAGCCTTGAGTTGCAACCCTCCTGTCTCAGCCTCCTTTAGTGCCGGGATTACAGGCACGTGCCACCATGCCCATCACTTTGAGGTCAGTGTCTTGCTCCAACTTGAGAAAAATTACAGGCTGTTGGCATTGCCAGTCCAATCTGGAGTGCTGTGTATTGAAGTGTACAATTCTATCCTTGCATACAAGCAAATTTTCCTTTGGAAAATACTTTCTGCTACTGTCTGTGCTGAGATAGTCCCATTCCCCTGTCACATTGGCGTGCTTTGCTGGCCTCTTATCCTTTAGGGCTTTTACTTTAATAAGGTAGTGCTCACTACCTGCAAAAGGGCATGGATCAGTTAACAAGATTAAGGAATAGAGAACAAGAATTTATGACTGACATTTTGTGCATATATTCACCACAGGATAAGAAGTCTAGGTAGTACTTACTATTAGGGAGACAAGTTGAACCTGGGTAGACTGTGCTTACAGGGCTGTTCACATGTACTTTTGCAGCTTGTTGTCAAAGTCAATACAAATTTAAATCAAGGTGAGTGGACATGAGATAAGTATACAGAGTCTGCCAAAAAAATGTATACACACTTCAGGAAAAGAAAAAATTGTGTAAATATTTTTAAACTAAATTTATTGAGACATCATGAGATTAATACAAGTTACCTTTCTTTTTTTTGTCCTTTTGAGGCAGGGTTTTCACTGTGCAGATCAGGCTGGCCTTGAATTCACTTTGCAGCCCAGGCTGGCCTCAAACTCAGCGATCCTCCTGCCTCAGCCTCCTGAGTGCTGGGATCACAGCCGTGCACCACCATTCTGGCTCCAAGTTACATTTGAGTTCAAAGTGGTGGCCATGAGCTTCCAGACTTGATTCGTATGGCGAACTGCTGCTTGGGTAATCTTGGTCGTTGAGATTGCTGTGTATACGTTTTCAATTCTTTCTCTAACAGCCAGCAGTGTGTAGGTTTTCTGTGATATTCAGCACCCCCAGGGTTCCCCATATGAGGGTAACACCATCTGCTGAAGACACCTCCTACTATTTTTCTTTTCCTGAAGTGTGTATACATTTTTGGTGGACTCTGCGTATCCTAGAGCAGGTGTTTTAGAGGAGTGGAGCTACCGCGGCATTTCAAGACTTCATGATGGTGTTAGTGTTACTCCAGCTTGGTTGCGCTGTGTTCAGAGGGGAGTAGAGTCCCTGGCAGAGCAAGGATGGCCGGAACATGCTTTCCAGGGCGGGGGCTGCACTAGCCAAGGGCAGCAGCTCCTTCAGCTTCAGTCAGAGGCTGCCCGCAGTCCTTGTGAAATTCATCGCTCACCCGGACGACACTAAACAAATCTCCTGACCCCTGCGTTAGTGTGGTGCCGATCTAAAGAGTGTTGTTAATTCACTGACTCAGCATAGAGCTTAAATATTTTCTTTTCCCAGAGAAAGATCCACTGATATCTCTGTTTTCACCCATTTAAATGTCTCCAAGTGAAAACCACTGGTAAACCTAGGAACAGGACCCCGAGCAGAGCACGCAGGATGGCATGCTTTTTGACTCGCTGACTTTGCCTCCTCTCACACCCGTGCTTCCTTCTGCAGTGACGTTTTCTTTCCCACACCCACCTGCTTTTATGCCAACAACGCTAGTTTGTCTCCAGCACAGTTCAAAATTTTACTGAGCTCCTTGCCAAAAGAATCAGCAAAATGAAGAAGGAATGAGGAGGAAAGACAGCACAGTTTCATTTGCTTAGCCTCACGATGAGTTGCAGTGGACACGGATACGGGGCGGGTAAAGCCACCTTTACCGCGTGCTCGAGCCATACCTGGGTCCTGGTTAGCTGGCACCGTCACCCAGAGATGCCAGGATAGAGCCTCTTCAGAAAAGTGGCACAGCTGAGGCTGCACAGCAGCCATGCTGTGAACACTGCTCCACTCGCTCGCCAGCGTCTGACAGGGACAATCAGCAGAGTCCCCGAGCCCCGGGCTTTGGCTCTTCCTCAGACCTGTCCGGAAACCTCGGCCGCTCTCTCAGAAAGGCCACACAGTGGGGTGCCATCTGTCTCTGGGGGATGTGGCTCTCCTCCTCATTTGAACCCTCTCTTGAGTGTGAAAAACTGCAGAACTTACATGAAACTTTCTATTTTTGAGTTGTGAGTTTTCAGAACATAATCAGTGTTTTAAAACTTAAAGCACTGGAGTTCTTCATCTATCTTGCCTAGAATATTCATTAGAGCAGAAGAAAAATGCCTTTGAAGCTGGTGCCTATCCCTCCTCTCTGTCATTTTTATGTATACTATGACCCTTTGACTCCTGACCACTAAACAATACCTAAGCTAATACAGCTACCTCCGTGTCTGAACCGCGTAAAGTCTCAGGGAGATCTTGAATGCTCTTTCAAATGCCTTCTTGTCCCTTTGCAGATTATTCCAATGTTGCAAGAATATATCATCAGCAAATTGGGGCGTGCGTTCATTGAGCCGCCCCCCTTTGACCTGTCCAAGGCGTTTGGGGACAGCCACTGCTGCGCGCCCCTGATCTTCGTGCTGTCCCCTGGGGCGGACCCCATGGCTGCTCTGCTGAAGTTTGCTGATGACCAGGTACCCTGCAGCAGCAGATGACAGCTGATGTTGTTATTGTTTTCAAAAAGCACTGTTTGTTTATGGTTGAAATCTTAAGGGGTAAGAAAAGGGCAGACATTGTCACTCAGCCCTTGAATGCCCTGGGGTTCCAGAGGTAGACGGAGTCCCCAGGAAATGATGCTTTAATGGCAGTGTCATTAAAAAAACAGCTCCTTATCCAAATTATCAAACAAGAATTTGAATTTTTGGGGCATTTGCTTCTCTCTCACTTTGGGACAGGGAACTGTCAGTGCTCAGTGAATATGGGGTGATCCCCTGTGACCCTGAACCCTCCCGTCTCTAAAAGGAGGCTGTTCCACTTTCTGGGATAGTTGTACACTACAGTCCAGTGGAGGCCACGCGTGTGCAGCAGGCCGTTTGTTATCATCGGAAGCTCTGGCAGGTTCACCATCAGATGAAAACATATTCTATTATCAGTATTTCTAGATCTGGAAAATTACCTGAATGAATTCACTGTAACTGCTCTGCTGTCATAGTGATGAGCAGGTGGTTGGGCTTGTCCTTGGGTTGATATTTCCCCTGTTGGTATAATCAAAGTGACATTTGGGGTGATACTACTGAGATTTCTAAAATCAATACCATCGCTTTTACTGAATGCACATTCTGTGAACTTTGCCCGACCCTGTTGTACACATTCTCTCTTAATTTTGCAGAGTCCTGTGTGGTAAATGGTGAGGTCCGCAGTGCACAGAAACGAGTACTGAAGTGTGGAGACGTTGTGTAGCTTTTCAGGGTCCTCCAGCTTACAAATTAAAATACGCTCCACTTGGCCAACTTCTGCCTCATCACTGCCCTTCTCTGGCCTGGATGTAATTCTTCCATCTCGGAGGATTCACTGCCTAGCACGGCACTATTTGTTTTTAAGTACCATAATGTGGCTGTCATGATTGCAGAAGTCTGAGGTGTGTGAGGCACCCGAAGATAAGCAGTGATAGTACACAGTGCCCAACAGCCACAGCTTAAAGGAGGGGAGATCTCATTTTCCTAACGGTGTCGGGGGATCCATTCCCTGGTCAGCGGGTTTCATGGCAGAAGGGCACTGGGGAGCAAAGCTGCTTAGTTAACGGTGGCCAGGAAGCAGAGCAGGGGAACAGTCCTGGAGGGGAAGGGACGGGACCGGACTAAAGTCCCCATGGCCACACCTCCGAGACCCCAGGTAGACTCAGGGGCATGCTCTACTGATCTGCTGGGTGCTTAACCCAATGAAGCTGACATGTCATGATTAACAGATCGGTGGTGATAGGTGCAGACAGTCAGGATAGAATCCAGCTGCATTCCAGGAAGACATTCCCACAGAACCCTTCATAGGACCCTTCTGGTGGAATTAGTGATGTTCTGTTTAATCTCTTAATTTTATACAGAAGCCACGTTAATCAAAATATGCCTCTTCAAAAAGATTAAAGAAAGAGGACAAGTTCATCTGTCTGTTCAGAGTTTTCTTTACAGCTTTGCATTTTAGAGCTTGTTACAAGACAACTGATCCCTTCCGTCTCCTCCTTATGTTGAAAGTTTTGTTAATTTTTTTCTACCTCATATATCAACAACCAAAGACCCTGAAGCATTTTCCACTTATTACCGTTACTATGATTGATTTCTACCTGAGTTGACGTGTTTCATTTGTAAGTGTTCATTAGTTTAGAGTGCTTTAGGGCTATGTGGGCTTGAACCTTCGCAGGATGCTGCAGAATTACATGTCAATAGTTAATGTTAACATTTTTTGTATGATAGTATTGATTCTTCTAACACTGTGCTGTTAGATGACCTCTTTATTTTTCTCATACACAGGGGTATGGGGGTGCAAAACTTAGCTCTTTATCTCTGGGCCAAGGCCAAGGGCCCATCGCGATGAAGATGGTAGAAAAAGCCATCAAGGAGGGCACTTGGGTGGTCCTTCAGAACTGTCACCTTGCCACCTCTTGGATGCCGACCCTGGAGAAGGTCTGCGAGGTAAGTCTGTGAGGTAGCTGGTGCTCCTTCAGGAGCATCTCCGCCTCTGGCTGTCACTGAGAACTTTGTTCAGAGGAGCAGGAGCGGGCAGAGAATCAGGTCCCCTCATTGGGAGATGGCTTGGGGTGGGAACGCCGTCCTCCGGAGGGAAGGCTCAGAAATGGGAGTAAGCCGCAGGGGAGCCATGACCCAGCTCAAGGTTCACAGCAGTAAACCAAAGCAATTCCCTGGCCAGTGCCAGCGTAAAGCGGAAGGCTGGGGAAGGCTGCAGAAGGCAACTGCCCACTTGCTTCCCCCTCGCCCGCCATGGAGGATGGTGTACCCGCTCCTTCCTGCCCTTGCTGTGGGGTTCTTGCGACTTCTGCTCTTTGGTGGGCAGAAGTTTCTGGAAGAAAGCCCACATGGCTCAGTGGAGTAAACAGACGTCCTGGCCCTCGATTACAGCAGACGCGCACAGAGGATGTGTGTCCTGGGAAAGAGCTGTGACTCAGCCCCTTCCCTCTCCCTTCTTAAACGACACTTAGACTTCCACTCGGTGACCAGGGTAATGACACAGCTGCACTGGCCAACCGACAACAGGGACGTCAGGCAACAGATCGGCCTCAGCTCTTCCTCTGCTTGTCTCTGGAGACAGTGACTTTGCGTTGCTCTGTCCCATCCTGTATCCCACCACCTTGAGTGGCGCCGGCCCATTGGAGACAATTGATAAACATTTACTAAATTAGTGGGTGAGAATCGCTTCCCTGTTTGACACCTTTCAGTGGCTTCTTGTTGTGTGCAAGGCAGAGTCCAAAGCCCCAGCCGGCCGTGGACCATCCTTTGCTGACCGCTCCAATTCCACATCTGCTCGCTCTCCATCTTGGTCTCCACACCCGCCACCTAACTTCTCTTTACTCGGAATTGCAATTTCTCAAGCACAGAGACGGCCCTGCAGAACATTCTTCCTGCCTGAACAGAGATCCTTGTTTTCGTTTGCCTTGCCTCCGTCTCTTCATCCCTGATCCTCTCTACTGGAGGCTTTACGCTTCTGCCTGTCTCCTGGGGTCCCGTGATCTGCTGCCCTATGACCTGCGTACCTAGAGTCGGAAGAGACAGCCTGTCCCGAGGGAGCGCGAACTTGGCTCAGCATCCCATGCACCACTTGCTTGAGGACAGCAGGGAAGAGAAGAAATCGCGCTCTTACACACTGCCGCCCCGCTGTCGTTATTAAACAGTGCAGAGACCCTGCGTCCTTCCATTCACCCCACTCCTTCACCACATGAGCGCACACAAATTCTTTAGAGATAAAGATGTGTAATTTGCAAGAAACACAGAAAGTTGGTCAAGACTGGACAGGAAGCGGGACAAGCACCCACCAGATGACTCCGAGGCCCCGGGTGGCAGTGCTGGGTGCGGTTCTGCTCCTCTTCCCAGTTCAAGCCCGAGCCCTTAGAGCCGTTAAGCAAGCAGAGGTAACAATGATAGCGCCGCTTGGTGCTGAGGATACACCAGTGCTTCTGGCCCTGAAAAACAGCCTTTAAAAAAATTCTGCTGGTTTAATAATGGTTTATCTAAGTGCAGTGCTCAGCCTCACAATCAGCTGTAGCAAGAAGAAGGGGTGAATCTTAACCTAGCTCTGGGCAGACAGTGATTTCTGTGAATATTTTAGCCGCATGGGTGCAGCTGGAAGAGTTTGGGGGATGCCTCAGTCTTTACTTTGGCCAACTCTGAGCTGCCTGGGGCCTGTGTAAGCTTTGCAGCCATAGGAGTTAACTCATCCAGAGAGACAGCACCGGGCCTTCTCTGTGAAGTCTGTTGCTTGAAAGGTAGAGACAGATTTTTAGGGTTTTTTCTGAAAATTTCAACAGTGACATCTGTATCCTGTAGAAGTACTTCCTCCACCTGCTAGCCTGTCCCTTGCATGCACGATCTTGAAAGTTTTGGGGGGCCTTATTTACCCTTCTGCATCTGATTTGTTCGCTTCCAGGAGTTAAGCCCAGAATCAACGCACCCTGATTTCCGAATCTGGCTGACAAGCTACCCATCTCCAAATTTCCCCGTGTCGGTGCTGCAGAACGGAGTCAAGATGACCAACGAGGCGCCGAAAGGTTTACGAGCTAATATCATCCGGTCGTACCTCATGGACCCCATCTCTGACCCCGAGTTCTTTGGCAGCTGCAAAAAGCCTGTTAGTAATGGCAAAGTCTTGTTACCTCAGCCTCGAAATGCAGTTCAAACGGCCCCGGGGGACGGGGATGCGCGCTCCGAGGAAAACTGCAAATTAAATAAGACTCCCTCGCTGCGGTGCAGTTGGTTTTGATTACTGATTATTGACTGTGCTGAAGTCAATTTTATTAATATTTTATTTTAATTTTACCACCAGCCTCATTCCTGCTCAGCTGAGATCTTACGGGGGATCATTAATAATGCACCTTTCTATTTAGAAAGTCAGCTGTAAGCCGTTCCCAGTCCAAATCTGCAAGGTTGGAGAATCTTGTTTCAGGATATTAACTGAGCCCTTTGCTGTTGGAGCCATATCTCTAAATTAAAACATAAGAATATTTCCTCCGTACAAGCATAATGAGAGCCAGAATGATTTCCCTCCTTGACTGATGGGACTCGTAGGGTCTTTCTCAGCACCACCAGGCAACAGGGAAAACACCCGCTGCTTCCGTGATTAGAATTCTGCACGGATGTCTGTGACCTAAAATTGTTTCACAGTGTTTTACAATAATTAAAGACGGAAGAGTTTCTTTTTAAGAGGGGTTGTAAACCTTGGGAAGTTTTGCCATTAAAGAACTCACACGCTTGATGTCTAAATATGGTCTAAGTGCATAGCCCAAAAAAGCATTAAACATGAAGAAGTGCTTTCATTAAACAAAAGCTTGGGCACTTAAAAAAAAAAAAAAAAAAAAGTCCCTCTCCTTAAAAGCTAGTCAAGCCCAAGACCTGTCATGAGCCTACTCTTGGCAGTCAGCGAGGGCCAGGGATGCATGTCCCACCCACGTAGGCGGCGAGGAGATTTCCGCACGCAGCAGGCTGGGCAGAGCCCTTTGTGCAATGTAACTCGACACCCCACTCTTCTCGACCCGAAGGCCTCTCCTGCAGTAGCGCAGGGTTTTAGAGGCGCGGGCATGGGTGAAACACAGTCCTAGCTCGAACCCAAATCTCAAATGCCAAGGCAGCAGTTTACAGCTTTTCTGTTTTGACATTTTATTTGGTAATAATTTTAAACTTATAGACACACTGCAAGAATAAAATTAGTGTAAGGAACACCCCTACCTCCTTTACCCATGTTCACCGCTTGCTAATCTTTTACCCCTTTGTTTTAGCATTTGTCTGTTCTCTCTTAGTACAGATAGAGATGTGGGTACAGATGTGGACATGGGCAGGGACATAGATCTATAGGTAGAACCTGTCCCCCGCCATCTGGCAAGGCCTGATTCCGGCACCCTTGGACACCAAAATATGCAAATGCCAATTCCTTTATATAAAGTGGGATAGTATTTGCATATAACACACACACACCTATGCTCCTACATATTTTACACAATCTCTAGATTCCTTATAACACACGCCCAGTGTGGTGTAAGCAGTCATTAGCGTATCATCTTGTTTAGGAAATAAGGACACAACAAAAGTCTGTTCAGCACTGACACGCTTTTTAAAGTAATTTCAAAATATCAAATATTGGTTGATTCTATGAGTGCAGAACCAGCAGAGGGTGTGGTGGTCCAGGTGTGTGTGTGCATACACGTGTCCATATGTGCACACATATGCACACACACAAGCACCCAGGCACATCCACACACCAGCTGCAGGCAAGTTAGTTCTGTCACGGCCCCTCCTCCTTAAACACTCCACGGTGTACTTTCACTGAACAGGAATATTATCTTCTCTCCGTACAGTTACTACCTTTAGCAAACTTAGCGAGGACGTGCTATTCAGTCTCAGTGAGTGCTTGTGTCCCCATGTCATCATCTGATGCAGCAGTGTCCTCTGGAACATTTTCTCTGCTCGTGAGAGCACTGTTCCAGGGTTTGATTTTACATTTAGTTACCATCTCTCTGTGGCCTCCTTAAACCTGCATTTCTCCAGCCTTTCTCTGTCTTTTAGAATTCATCTCCTATTTTTTAAACAGGATTTTGTCCGTTTGGGTTTGCTGGATGTTTTCGACAGAGCAGAGTTAGATTATTCACTCTGAGCTAAAACACGAGGTAGGAGATACTGTGTGCCCTTGGATGCTCAGTCCACAGGCCCGTGGTCTCGTCTGTCCCTCATTGGTGACGCTGGTTTTGCTCACTGGGCAGGTGTTGATAGGTTCTCCACCACAGAAGGGCAGCTTTCTCCATTTCAGCTAAGTCTGTGGGAGACATTTTAGGACCCATGGTAACATTTTGCTCCGCCCGAAATCCATCTCCACCCAGACTTGGAGGCCATCGGTGGTTCTTGCCTGATCTACTTGTTGCTGTGGTGGTTGCAATATTCTGATCTGACTCTTGATACTTGACTTTTACCTTAAGCAACAACTGCCCTTTCTATCATCTTTATTGATCTATAATTGGTCTGGAATTTCTAAGGATTTTTCCCCAATGATTTATAATTCATTACTTAAGTCTTTTAATGCTAGCATTTCCCAGATTTTGTCAATGGAACACTTTTAAACTGGTTTCTTTATACTTACCATAGATCCCATCTTTTTTAAAGAGGAAATCGGTTGTCATTATTGTTAGCATTGTTATTATTAATCAGAAGCTCTCACGTTCGGTATAAGATGTTCCAGGCTCATCTTTACCAGTCCTGCCCCATGGAAGGATCCACTTTTGCACAGAGCCGTTTCCTGTTAATTGAAGATAAACTTCCAGACACTGCGTGGGTGTTAGCTTGTTGCTGCTGCGTTATCTGGTTGTTGAGCCTTCCTTGGAGAGGAAGCAGAAATGTGTATGTGCACAAAAATCCGTGGGCATGTACGTGACCCACGCACATGTTCACATACATTATCATATACGTTTTAGACCTGATAACTCATCCTGACCCCCCCAATTTCAGCCATCCACCTAGAGTTCAGTTCTGCTTCTCTTAATTCCATTCTTATGCCTCCTTTCTTCTACTGCAGAGATCTGGATTCTAACACATCACTGCATGTACTACTTTGGCCAATTCTCTAATATATCTTAAATAGTTCCAGAATTACCCCATCACGTTTTACTTCAGTTTCTCTGGCTAAATGTATGCTATTTTCCTCTTTGTGAAATGTCTGCTGCCTTCAAGTTTGGTCTTTGAAGGAAAGGCTCCCCCAGCCTCTCTGCCGGTGACGTGCCCTGCGCGTCAGTGGCCGCAGCTCTCGCTCTGCAGCACCTCGCATGCCACATGGAGCCCTGCTGCCCAGAGCTCATTCACAGTGACCCCTGGCCACCATGCCTGGCCCAGCTCCCGTCTGCCCCGCAGGACTTCCGCTGAGTCACCACCCTCAGAGGACAGACGTTGACCACCCACCTCGGTGCTCTGCCCGGCAGCCATAGGTGGCTCTAGTTCCTTAGGCAAGAGTTTTGTACTTTCCCAGCTGCCTAGCTGTGAAAATACATGTCACCCTCTGAGCGGCCCAGTAATTCCTTCTCACCGGCTTGGGCTTAGAAGGTGGGCTCCACACACCCTTCTCCCTGGTGGTGGGAGCGGTGAGTTCCCCGCACAGCACTCACGCCACCTGAAGGTGTCTTGCAACGCTCTCCTCATACGTCTTAGGGATGTCTAGCGGGTGGAATGATCTCTTTTGAATTTTCTTCATGGTGATCCAGGACTACACATTAGAATTTGTCATTTTTTTTCCTTAAATTTTTTACATTTTTATTAGTCTGTGTTTGCAGCACATAAAGAACACTTTCATCCTGGGGAGTCGGTACGAGCACATGACACAGCTTAACTCTTTTCCTGTCCTGTCCCCTCCCCTCACTCCGTCTCTTGGTCCTCCTCCCATGTGCAAGAGATCTACCGCCCTGTTTCGTGTTATCTTTTATTTTGTTCTTTATTCATGATTTGGGTTTCTCAAATAAGAAAAACCATGGGATATTTAAGTTTATGGATCTGATTTATTTCACTTATCGTTATGGTCACATGGTACATCCATTTTCCTACAAATGACTCAAGTTTATCTTTATGGCAGAGTAGTACTCCATTGTGTATAAATGCCACATTTTCTTTATCCGTGCATCTAATGATAGACATAGAGGCTGCATCCAAGATTTAGCTATTATGAATTGTGCTGCTATAAACTTGGGTATGCATGAATCAGTGTAATATTCTTGCCTTTTGATGCTTTGGTTGGAACCTGTAAAATCCTATAAGGTAACGTGAAGTTAGACGAGCCTGTCATGTTTTCTAAAACCCTGGGTTTACATAGCAGTGTGCCAGCTGAACATGTGTTCACATGGGCATATTTTTGCCTGAAGAGCTGATAAAAAAAAAACTAATTCTATTTCAGTTATGCTTGGGAGTGGATATATTCTTATGGTATTTATAAGCTAAGGAGTTTAATTACTTTCATTTTTAAATTTTTTTCATTTTATGAAAAAAGGCAAAACAATTTCATAACATAATAGGAGAATAACAATAGTTAATACATTGCATATTGCCACCTTCAAAGCACTTACTCAGAGTTCAAGATATGGGCATAAAAAATTCTCCAAACGATATCAGCACAAACCTTCCTTTCCAATGAACTGAGAGACACTAACAGTGTGGCTAACTTACATTTTTCTCCCTTTTCCTTTCCTGCCTTTCCCCTTTCCCCCACCCTAGTTCCTTTCTCCTTTTAAACAGTGTCTTCCCGTTTCATAATATCTACTGGGCATTTTAGACCTTACTTACTCTTTTAGTCTCTCACACCAGGGAGGCAATACGATGCTTACACATGAGTCCAATTTATTTCCTTATGAGTATGTTCTCAAGTTGCTTCCATTTACCTATAAAAGTCTCAAGTTTATCCTTCTTTATGGCTGAGTAGTACTCCATTGTGTAAAAAGAGCACATCTTTTTTTATCCATTCCTCGGACTTCCATTTTAAAACATGGCACATATAATATAGCATTGGGGGAAATAACGATGTGACACAATTCCTTCTCGTTGCAGGAGGAATTCAAGAAATTGCTCTACGGCCTCTGCTTCTTTCATGCATTGGTCCAAGAGAGGCGCAAGTTTGGCCCGCTGGGCTGGAACATCCCTTACGAGTTCAATGAGACCGACCTGCGCATCAGCGTCCAGCAGCTGCACATGTTCCTGAACCAGTACGAGGTAGGGGCCGCGGCGAGTGTGCGGCGTCCGCCTGCACAGCCCATGAGTGCTGCTGGGGAACGGAGGGCAGGCGGCGGCCGGCAGCACGCTACGTGCTCCTTTGTTATAGAGGGTGCTCCTGCTCCTCGTGAGTAGTTAGCACGTCAGCTGCCCTCACAGGAACCTACACTGAATCACTTATTTTGACTCATGAACATCTATGGAGATCTGGAAAGCAATCCAATTGTGTACATTTTGCAAAGAACTCAAGACCAGGAATCTGCTAGGCTCCAAAATGGAAAAGAAAACCAAGCCAACAAATTCTGTTCTATTCTGGAGCATGACTTTATTTTCAGAGGAATGTCACTATACCCTCACTCCAACCTTGGGACCATTTGTCAGGAAAACAAGTTGTTTAAGCCACTGGTGTTGACATGACGCATGGACTCCACAAAGAAGCGAGGGATGCTGATGTCACATCAGTCATTCACTCATTCACTCATTCATTCATTCTCTCTCTCTCACACACACACACGCATGCACACACAGGCGCACACACACACACACACACACACACAGCCTGTGGTACTCTTTGCTAACACTTGTTTTTTGACTGGATTTTTAACATGTTTGCACCTTTGAAGAACAATTTGGTGAGTCAACTCAAGCCCTATAAGGATAAGGAGCTTTTTATAAAAAGTGAGTTTTCCAAATTTTTGTAGAAGTTTTTGAAATTTATTTGGAAATATTTAACTCATTAAATCAATAGAGTATCAACAATTTAAGCTTTTGAAACCTTTAGTGAATTATGACTTTTTAAAAATACTTTTAGCTGGGGTATAGTTCAGCGGCACAGCACCTGCCTGGCAAGTGCAAGGTCCTGAGTTCAATTCCCAGTACCAAAAAAAAAAAATGACATACACAGGAAGGCATTGAATTCTATATAAAAACAAAAGAGGGACTCCGCAAATAACCACTGAGAGCTCAGTGGCGTATGTAACCCTGTGAAAAGTCTTTCATCTGAGCTTTGTGTCTCGCTGGACAGATTCCTGTTCAATGGAATAAGTGGAGAAGGCCTTCAGGTTTACATTTAAAATGAGTGAAACATGCAGATGAATAATAAATTTGATGAGCTGCTTTCCTGTTGTAACATTCACCAAAACAAAAAAGATGCCAAAAATAGAGAAAAAATACCATGATACCGTAACGAAGGAAATATTTCACCTAAAAGGACTACACTCTCCAATACGAAAAACACAGAATGATGAGCTCTTCCACTGAGCAGCTGGTTCTGAATAGCTGGAGAGTATATTCTAATTTAAAGCAGTCTGTAATGAAGTCAGTTAAATGTCTGCACTTACAAAAGTCAGTTTAGCATCCAAATCAGTGAATATCATCTATCACGTCAACAGACTAAAGAGGAAAAATGCCCCTAATCCTACCAACAGGTGCAGGAAAAGCATTTGACAAAATCCTACACTCAGGCATGATTAAGAGCACTCTCAGCAAACTAGGAATAGAAATTAGCAATAGAGGGAGACTTGCGTGATTCTAGAAGTATTTATAAAATTGGCACAGCTAACGTCCACTAAAACGGTGTCCAGTAGGACCGATGTCATCACGAGCAGCAGGACACTGGGCCACCACACCCGCATCGAACTTCACCTCCAGCTTCACCCTTGGGCGAGGGGCCCACACACTTTCACATACACACAGCGCTCTCCCTCCAGCCCACACTTCACAAACCCCCTCCTTGGCCGGGATCATGCAGCTCCTGCAGACCCAGCCTTGGGGACACCTCGCGGATGCCTGCTCTGCCCACTGCCCTCCCTGAAAGGGTGCAGGGTGTCATCTGGAGTTGCCCAGCCCTCCCTGGGAGGAGACCCCCACCCGCCTGGCCCTGCCCGGGGCCGAGCTGGGGAGCAGGCGCAGTGCTGTTCCTGTGGCCGTGTCTGAGCTTACACACCCGCATCGGAGTCTCGGTCCGCCCCGGCGTCCAGCCCCTGGCATCTGCGCCTGAGATTTCCCGCTCTCTCACTTCTGCGGGGTGGGCACCTGCCACGAGGCAGTGAGTGTCGCACTCCTCGCGCGTGCAGCTGGGGACCACCGAAGGCCTGGAGCTGTCCCTGATTGGGGACGTTTGTCCCTCACTGTCGCTCATGGGCTGTGTGCTGCTGCACTCCCTGTCCGTGCCTGGGCAGATCTGACTTCAGAGCCCTCACTCGATCACTCATGGCTACCCCTCCTCCCCCGTCATGGTTCTGATGGCGAGAGCTCTCCAAGTCAGTCCCGGGGTTGGAGGCTCTGCACATGTCACGTTTTCACACTAACTCTGAGATGGGGGCTGAAAAGCACAAAGAGGATGAAAAGCTCCTGAAGTGAAGTATTGCTGCATCTGTATAAAATGTCACCATATTAAAGTTCCATGAACAATTAAACATCACATAAATTAAAGATAAATGAAAGTTGGAGGAAACACCTGATATTTATCTGACAGGCTAATTCAATATCTTTATAAAGAGCATTTAATAACAAGAAAAATGCACACCTGTAATCTCAGCTATTAGGAGGCTGAGGCAGGGGGATTGTAAGTTCAAGGCAAGTTAGGCAACATAGTGAGATCCTGTCTTAAAAAACAATCATTCAACACATGAACAGAGTAGATAATTTATAAAACATTTAAAAGTCAGTAATATTTTTAAACAAACATTTTAAATGTCAGTATAAAAATTAAAACCTAATGATTTTATGGTTTAATTGTTGTCAGGCGCTGTGGTACACACCTGTATTCCCAGCACTTAGGAAGCTGAGTCAGGAGGATTGCAAGTCCAAGCCCAGCCCAGGCACTTTAGCATCTTAACGAGAACCTATCTCAAATTTTTAAAAATTATCAATTGTTTTTTTCTCTAAATGATAATAGTCCTGTTGGAAACAGTGAGAGATAGAATTCTCTATGCTACTGGTGGATACATAAATATTTACACTCGGGCTAAAAGAAATTGTAGTGTGAAAAATCAATACCATATGTATTCATGAACGTTTAAAATGCTGTATAGTAGAAAATATAATGAAACGGAAAAAAGAAAACTAGGGAAGCAGTTTTCATGAATTTAATGAATGCCAGTCGGTGAGAGCTTAAATAGATAGACTGTGAAAACTTTAGTGGGAAAAAAATAAACCAGAGGCCGGTGCCCAGGACAGATGGTGCTAAGCGTGCAAGAGAGCTAGGCACTTCACCAGTATTGAAAAAGTGACACATTATGCTGACCTATCAAAGTAGCAGGAAGTTCAAATCTGGTTGCCACAGCCTCCCAGAAAAGCATGTGGTCACAGGGACAAACCGCCTTTGTAAGCTCCTTTTGCTTGGAAAAGAAATCGCAGTTTCAGAGCTTTTCCATCAGTTCAGGAAATGGCTCAAAAACCTTTCAAGATTTGGTGAAAAAATAAATGTGAAGTTGAACATACGCTGTGACTCCAGCTGTGAGGGCGCGCGGGACAGGAAGGGTGATGGAGGCAGTCCTGCTGGCTGGGGCCCGCGGCTCTGCCCTGCCCACCCTGCGGCAGTGGGCGGAACCCTTGTGTCCAGCACGCAGCAGCTGCTCACCTAAGGCCGGCTGAGCGCGGGTAGAGGGTTCAGGTCTCCGCACCGACTGGTGGAAACCTAATAGCGAGAAAGGAGGGTGAGTCGCTGGGGAGACGCAGTGCGCAGGAGGGAAGATTGCAGAGGGAGACCCGCAGCGAAGGTCTTGTGAGATGTTTAGCTTAATCAGAAAAGGGAACTAGAGACTCTGCTGCATGCCGTGGGCCCCGGCCCCTCGCGCCCGGCTCTGACCCGGTGCTGACCCGAGCCCCCCATTCCAGGAACTGCCCTTCGACGCTCTGCGCTACATGACCGGGGAGTGCAATTACGGAGGCCGGGTGACCGACGACTGGGACCGGCGCACGCTGCGCACCATCCTGAACAAGTTCTTCTGCCCCGAGTTGGTGGTGAAGCTAGACTACCAGTTTGACTCAAGCGGCATCTACTTCGTGCCGCCTGCGGGCGACGTGAGTGTGCCCGAAAAGAAGCGGGAGGGCAAGCGGAGCACGCGCCTCCCTGCGGAGTGCGGAGCCCGGGCCTGTGGGCTGTCACCCGCCTGCGCGCCTCCTGCCCCGGGGGACGGTGCACACACCGGCCATAGTCAGTGGCCCGGGTTTGCTGGGGACTGAGGAAAGGATCCTCAGCTCAGGGAGCTGAGCAGAGTCGCGGGGAACTCAGGGCCCTGGGTGAGACTCGGTCCCCGTTAAAAGAAAAACACACAGCAGGGCTCTGCAACGAGGGCGATGGAGCAGTTCATATTTACAGCACAGTTGTTCACGAGCCAGGTTCGGTCCTGACCTCCCTGCAGCGGCCGGTTAAGGTTGGTGGTGTCAGCTCCGCCCTTGTACAAAGGGGAGCGAGGGGCCATTAGGGCTGAGTGACTGGTCCAAGGCCCCCAGGAGCAGGTGCCGGGGAATGGCACACACAAGCCACCGGGGGCCTGTCTTTCCCCTGCCATCGCGCGGCAGGTCTCTGGGGACCGTCAGGACAGCCCCGTTGCTTCTGAAACCTGGCCACGTGACAGGGACGCATCTTACCGTTGCCACCTCGGACACCACCGTCCTCTGGGGTGGACGCTGTGGGCGGCAGATGTTGATCTGTCGCAAACACACACACTCAAAGGGCGACACAAACATCTCCTGGAAGAAATCTCTAAATTTAGTTACCAGAATTCCCTTTCCTGTATTTAAAAACCAACTGAGTGTCACACGTCCCTGTCCCTTTCTCTCCAAATGCGCACAGGCTGTTCTTGAAACTTTGTGCCTGGCTGCCAGACAGTGAAAGCCCTCCGTGCGCAGCCTCAGAGCCTCACAGGCTCAGTAACCTGCGCGTTGAAAGCCCTCCTTTGGGGTGAAAGCCTACAGCGTAGCTGACGCCCAGCCTCCCCGCTGTCGTGTTCACAGCACAAGAGCTACATTGACTACACCAAGACCCTGCCGCTGACGCCCGCGCCGGAAGTCTTTGGGATGAACGCCAACGCGGACATCACGAAAGACCAGGCGGAGACGCAGCTGCTGTTCGACAACATTCTTCTTACACAGGTGCGTGTGGTGTGCAGGGCCCACGCGGTGCCCCAGACGCGAGGCTGGTGAGACACAGGAGCGTTTGGAGGGAGAGAAGAAGGGCATTTAAGGTGTGACCAGGTACATGATTACAGTAAAGGACACACTGTTACGAATCCCCCTCAAAATCCTCCCCTTCACGTCCAATGCTCATCTCATTTTCTTGCCACATTCCAAAGCAGTTCTGGAGTGCTCTTTCGGGAGTGTTTTTACAAGTGTGATCAGAAATACGTGAATGCTGCGGCCAAGTGCCGCTCAAAGGAAAAGCAAACTTGTCAGACTCTGACGCTGTGTCCTCAGCCACCTATTCACAAGACCCGCCACAGTGTGACTCCTGGCTCTTCCCCAAAGCCAAAATGACCACGAAAGGTAAACATTTGAAATTGATTCAGGTCATCAAGGCCGCCGCAACGGCCCAGCAAGATGCTCACGAAGGAACTCCCAGAGCTGCTGTGGAAGTAGGCGCAAATCAAGGGGCAGGATTTTAAGGGGGATTCGTGGCAACATGGCTTTTACTGTGACATATTTGTTAAAAATGTGATCACTCAACACAGCCGTCTATCACACCTTATGTACCCCTGAAATATGGCTTTAAACAGAGTACGCAGACATACTGGTTTTTTCCCACTAATCTTCTATTTTGGAACCAAGACTTTTTCTCTGAATATTTCTGCCCTTCTAGGAATTCCAGTGTGTCTTTCTTGTAAAAGCCATTCCCCAATACAGTATTTGTTATATCCTTTTTAGTTTCTTCAAAGTGGAAAAAAGAATTTAAAAAATACTCAGGAAACAGAATCCATCTAGACTCTTACTATTTTCCTTGTTGTTTTCCAGTCTCTCACTAATTTAACACCCAGTTTTTAATGGCTCCTCTTTGGAAAACATTCCATAATATTTTAGTTGAGGTAGAAACAGTCCCTTGCACACTACTCTTTTATGAGACTGCAGAACGTCTGAAGTTGAAATGGCAGCAGTGGGTGCGGAGAATAACGAGGGCGGGAGGACGGAGTGGACGGAGGGCTTGTGGGTGGCCACAGCCCCGGGAAGGGGCGAGCACCCACGGGCGCGGGGGGAGCTGGGAGTGCAGTGCGGCTGCCGTGCACCTGCGTCAGTGCACCTGGGCAAATAACCTCTGCCCATCTCGCTGAGACTGTCCACACGGGGAGCTTCTTTCGCATCGTCCTCCCCGTAGAAGAGGTGCTGGCTTGTTTGTTTTTTAATTTTTCAAAGCAAATGAGTCCAAATGGCCAACGTCTCCATAGTGACTACAAGAACTGTCATAGATTAGGATGGGTGCCCAGTCAAGCTCGTTATCCCACCGACGGAATTCTGACCGCTGTCTCTGTGTGGCGTCTCGGGTAGAGCTGGTAGTGGTTAACATTTACACAGCGGATGCTGTGGGTCAGCAGTCAGTCGAGCGTATCACTCTGTCGCCCTTATAACAGCCCTGCAAGGACGGAGCCCTTATTTACTCCATCTTACAGCCAGAGCGGGCATGAAAAGGTTAGGTCATACTGCATGGAGCCAGGACCCAGCCTGGCGTCCACTCTGGCTCCAGGACCTGTGTTCTGCATCACTGACCTAATCTCTTCTTCTAGAGTCTAAAACTGGGGTTGGACCTAGAAGACACACAGCTAAAGGTGCTGAGAAGCTCGGAACTTGGAGGTGCTGCACTTTAGTAATGCAAGAGCCCACGGAACTCCACGATGACATTTTCTACTGAGGCAAAAAGCCTCTTCATATCCACGTACCACGGATAACACCAAAATCAGTTACTGCCCGGAGGGTATAGAATGGTATGAAAACCACAAAGAAGCAACTCCTTAGGAACATGAGGCACATGCACCATGAGTAATGTGAAAAACAGACACGCACAGTGTCTTTGGGCTTATTGAAACCTGGTGGGGTGTCACGTTGCGGAGCAGGGTGGGCTCATCCTGGTAGCAGATGACTCGGAGCCAGTCGAGTAAGCTTAACCACACAGAGGCCTCTTCCCAGCGTGTGAGGAATGACCTCCTTCCGGCCTCAATCCCAGACCCCCCAGGGCAGTTACTGAATGGGTCAGCAGTTGTTCTGGGAATCACCATTCACAGGCAAAAAGCCCGGGGCTGCAGAGCTCAGGGGTCAAGTTAACGGCAATGAGACCTTCCTATGACTGTACTGAGGTTAAACATTTTAGAAAGAAAAAAAGGAGGGTGATTTCAGAGCTGGGACTGTCGTCTTGGCAGAGACCTTTGGCTTGTACTTAACTTCCACACTCTATTTTGAATAGGGAAATTGTTATTGCTTAAAATATTATTAAACTAAAATGGCCTAGGATCTCCAAAAAGGGTAAATTTTGTGATGTCTCTTTACAAATAAATTTCACTTTTCATTATTTAATAAAAGAAAAATAACTCTTATACAGTTCCAAATGGCAAAGATAATTAAAAGGAAAAAACTAAGATAAACAATTACTAATAAATAGGACTCGATTGCTCTTAATTCTTAGGATTAGTTGAATATTACTTTAAAAACCTGCCAGCCTACATATATGATCTTAATATGTGAGGCGAGGTATTAAATATTATCCAATTATTTTTCTGAACAATTTTTCATTGTTAGAGGCCTAGGTTTTTATTTTTAGTTTTATTGTTTTTGTTTTTGTTTTGGTGTCAAGAATCAAACTCAGGAGTGTGTGTTTGCCAGGCAGGCACTTGTGCCTCTGAGCTATATCCCCCGCCCCTATTTTTAGTTTTATTTTTATGGGGACACAGCTCTTACAAAAAACTAGGAATTTTTAATGAGTTTATATATGTGTGACAAATACAAATTGAAACCAGCATATCAATTTTTAAATACAGTGGAAATAGAGCTCACTAGTTTGGGCCAAATCTTCGCTGTCTTTTTTGTTCTCTGTGATTTGTTTTATATACTTAGTTGTGAACCAAGTACCTTGGGATTGTAGTAAAGGATTATTACATAAGCACATCTCTTTTTTTACTAGCCCATAATTAAAACTGAACAACATTGAATTATATTATTGTGCAACTTTATAGGATCTTAAAGTGCATGGGTAAGTAGAGACTTAAGTAAAAAGAATAGTTAATATTTATAAAACAATTTATAGAATTTTTAATGTGTATAGCACAGAAACCAGGAAATATGAAATCTGAAAGAAGGCAAAACATCTTTTCCTTGGGCTGGAAAAACGTGTTTGCTCATATTCAGCAATGCTTATCCTACGTGCACACACACACACGCACACACACACACACACACACACACACACGCACACACATTTGTTCTACAGAGCTGGAGAGATTTTCCAGAAAATATAGATTTGTTTACACAGTGCCACTATCAACGTAAAAAACAAAAGTGGAATGGAAATCCTCCTTCCGGGCTTGCAGCGTGAATCACTGATGTCGGTGACCTTCCCATCTCTCTTCCAGCTACATGGAGATAAGCTGATTTTCTCTGCCCTGCGGGTTCAAGAGGAAAACTCCACCTCTGCTCTTGGCCGCGCCGGGCGCCAGAGCTGTTAGCAGGTGCTCCTGGGGCCGGCTTTCTCCTGGGTGTCACTCCATGCGGCACCTTCGGTGGCTCCTGCTCCACCTGGGCAGCAGAGCTGACTGCTGCTCGCTGTCTCCAAACGCTCCTCGCCACAAACACGCCACACGCGCCTCCGTCTGTTGTCACAGCTGTTGTCTCTCCAAGATGCACCCCTGCCCCTGTTATCATTTCTGTACTAATCTTGTGCGGAGACAAGTCACACAGCAGCAGAACAGGACCCACTCTTGCAGCGCTTCACCCCAGGGCCTCCCTTGCAGGCTCTTCCTAGACCGGTAGGAAGCGTTGGGTTACCGCCTGGATTCTTCAGTCTCGTTCTGCAGGTGCAGGTGCAAAGTCGTCAGAAGAAGTGGTAAACGAGGTGGCCAGCGACATCCTGGGTAAACTTCCCAACAACTTTGACGTTGAGGCGGCGATGAGGAGATACCCGACGACGTACAACCAGAGCATGAACACCGTCCTGGTCCAGGAGATGGGACGGTTCAACAAGCTGCTCGGGACCATCCGAGAGTCGTGCATTAACATTCAGAAAGCGATCAAGGTGAGGCGCTGCGAACGGCAGAGTCACCGAGTCAGAAGTAGCGTCCACCCAGTGAGCAAATACTCCTCGGGCACAGATGCATGTGAACACAGCCCTCGGTTCTGAGGACAGAAAAACATCCCTGTTCTTGAGGAGCTTTCAGGGTTCTGGTGACAGTTAAGAAATGGGTAGCTGTGGGGTGTGGGCTGTGGAGTAAGAAGGAAAAAGTGAACCAGCACTCGGGCAGTGGGGAGAAGTGAAGCATCCCACGGGAAGCACAGAAAACAGGGCAAAGCGACAGAGATGGACGGGAGAGAGGCTCTGTCAGTCAGGCCCCTCTGAGAAGCTGGCCAGGGACAAAGGCCCAAGCACTAGCAGAGGGGGAAGCCGTGTAGCCGTGCAGGAAGAGCGTCGGGAATGGGGCTGTCACACATGTAGGAGCCAGGGAGGAGCCCGGGACCTGCTCAGGAGACAGTGTGGGGTGGCAGCGTCAGCCAGGTTGGCAGCATCAGCCCTGGTGGGATTCGGGATTATGTTTTAAAACCCAAAGGTAAGGGGAAGCTGCAGAGGGCTTTAAACAACACGGTGAGGTGGTCTGATTTACCTCTTTAACGTTCACACCGACCACTTTAGAAAGGTTGATGGGAACAAGAGGCACGAGACAGAGTGAGGGAAGTCGCCTGACTGGCCTGTCATGGTGGGCAGCAGTGGCTGCGTGTGTGCTTCGCCCCTGAAGAGTCTGCTGGTGACAGTTGTGGGGACCGTGGGGGAGTCAAGGATGACTCCTCAATATTTGACCTAAGCAAGTGAACATTCTAGAGGAGCAGGTTTAAAGAAGTCATCCAAGAATTTTGGCTAGATTAACTTAAAGTGCCTCAGAGACTCCACGAAGAGTGAGGGAAGGCAACATTGGAGGTAAGTCTCAGCTTGCAGCATGTGGGTTATGATTAGAAATGCAACGTGTAAATGATCTGAAATATCTGATAGTGCTGATGAGCATAGGTTACTTGGAAGCACCAGTTTTTGCCATCTGACCACTTGGCTCAGAAGCGATGTAAAATTTCCTTTTTTGTCAAACTTTCATCATTCTCTTCCTAGTCCTCCAATTTGGGAAAGAAAGTATTTCAAAGGTAAGTAGTCCTTATTTTAAAAGACCAGTAAAAGTGACCAAGAATCCTAAAATTCATTTGGAACCAGAAGAGACCTAGAATAGCAAAAGGAATTAACAAAGGCAAGGCAGGAGGCATCATAATCCGTGACTTGAAACTGTACTACAAAGCTGTTGTGATAAAAACAGCATGGTACTGGCAAAAAAAACAGACCTGAAGATCAGTGGAACAGATTAGAAGATGCAGACACAACTCCAAACACACTTAGCCACCTTATCTTTGACAAAGGAGCCAAACACTTTCACTAGAAGAAAGTCTGTTCAATAAATGGTGCTGGAAAAACTGGCTTTCCACATGCCAGAGACTAAAATTAGACCCGTGTATCTCACCATGCACTAAATTAAAATCAAAATGATCAAAGATCTAAATATTGAAACAGAAACACTAGATATACTAGAAGAGAGAATAGGTAGAACTCCTGAAGACACTGGTGTAGGCAAAGACTTTATGAACAAAACCCCAATTGCATGGGAAATATTACAAAGAATTAACTGGGATCTCATCTCATTAAAAAGCTTTTGCACAGCAAAAGAAACTACCAAAGAGTAAAAAGACAACCGACAGTGTGGGAAAAAGTTTTGCCAGCTGTTCATCAGACAAAGACTAATATCTACAACATATAAAGAACTAAAAAAAAAGTCAGATCCCCCAAATTTAAAGACCCAATCCAAAAATGGGCATCTGAAATGAATAGACACTTCTCAGATGAAGAAGTAGAAATGCAAATAAATGTATGAAATATAGGTGGCCCATATTTATTTGGTTATCAGAAGGGAGGGGAGTACTCAAGAAGAGCAGGAACCACTCAGGGACTTCTCCAAGTAAGGTATTAAGTCAATCCACCCAGGAGTGAGATGCGTGAACCTACAATCTTTAACTAGTTGAGATCAGACCCAGGTATCCTTGGCCGTGATCTTGTCTTATCCTTTGAAGGATAAGACATCACTACAGGATTTAGTAGGGATTAGTGACTTACAGAGGTTCACTTACTATTAGTCTGTTGCCCACTTCTAGACAAGGAACCTACGCCTTGGACAGATGAAAAGAGCAATAAAAAGCCAATTGATTAATTTTAGTCCTGCTCAGGTCTGCTTTGTAGTGGTCTTCATCAAGGTTCCATTGGACCCTGCTATTCCTCTTCTCAGTATCTTCCTGAAAGAATTAAAAACATCATACCATAGTGATATATGCACATACATATTTATATTGGCACAGCTTATAGTAGCTAAATCTTGGAAATAGCCCAAATGCCCATCAACTGATGAATGGATAAAGAAGACATGGAGGTTTTTTTGAGTACTACTCAGCCATACAGAAGGATAAATTCAAGCCATTTCTAGATAAATGGATGGACCTTGAGGCTATACCCCAAAGTGAAATAACTCAGACACATGTGTAAATATCACACAGTTTCTCTGGTGTGAGAAACTGAAAGTGTGGATAAGGGCCAAAATGTATAATGGATATTGTGAAATAGAAAGAAAATGTTCAAATGGGAAGGGGAACCAGGGAGATGGGAGGGAGGAGGAAGGAAGGGAAAAGGAAACAAAGGAGAAAAGAAGGAGGAAATGGAAACAGCTTTTGTAAACAGGAAGGGGAAAGGGAAGACTGAAGACATACATCCCGTGCAGGTACAAATTCCCTGTGGCAAGTGTGACCATTATGTGCATCTAAAAGGTACCAATAAACATAATTAATTTTTTTATAAAGTAGCAAAAAGCTACTGAAGATTTGAAATCTGAGATGTTCCAAAATCCAAAACTTTTTCATGCCAAGTGAGATGATCCCACAAGCAGAGGGTGCCACGCCTGGCCTCTCCGTCAAACAGAGGTGCTTGCGGTATTGTGTAGAATGACCTCAGGCTATGTGTATAAGGCTTGTGGGAAACATAAGTGAATTTCATGTTTAGACCTGGGTCCCATCCTCATGATATCTCATCACATACAGGCAAATATTCCAAAATTCAAAAAACTCCAAAATTGAAATACTTCTGGTGGCAAGAGTTTCCAGTAAGAGATACTTCACCTGCAATGGAAGAAAGCCCATCAGAATAGGTGGTACAGTCTATGAGGTCTGCCATGGTGTCATTTTACAGCAATACATTTAAAAGCATAAATGATGCAGACGCCTTCTTGAGAAAATGTTACGAAAACAACGTGGGAAGCAACAGAAAAACTTGTAGTCCTTTTTGAGCTGAAAAGTCCAATGCTTAACAAGATTCCTCCTTCACACTGGGAGCCTCTTCCATCTCCTACTTACAGATGGGAAATGGTCGCACGGAGCAAGCCCTGTGACCTGGCTGGTGGTTGTGTACGGGGGTTGTGTCGCTGTAGTGTAACCTGGCGGGGCGGTGCCACTAAGACACACTCGAGACTGCTATGTGCCTCTTCCTGGGGGGAAGGGCTGACTTCGGCACTCGGGAGCTGCAAGGAGAACACAGCCCTGCAGACCTCGACATGCAGTGGCCACGCATTCACTTAATATCCTTGGGTTCAACACGATACCCGGCCCTCAACTGTACCAGGCACTGCTACTCTAGGAATGTTTTAATTTGCTCTTCCAGGTTACATTCAGATAGCTGGTGTGCACTTTCTGGGGAAGTGGTCTAAGGGTTTACTTTGTAACCAGGTCCCAGAATTCTTTCATTGAATACCACTCTCCTTGCAGAAATGTCTCAGGCCATTAGATTTTTTGAGTATTCCTCCATGAACTTCTGGCTGGTTCTTGGCTTTCCTCTCTGCCGGTTCATATGCCTTCTAGTTCCCAAAGTCGTGCTGTCATTGACTGTCCCTTCCTGTTTATTTTCTGCCTTTGTGGCCTCAGGCTGTCATGATGAACCTCTGGCACACGTGTTGTAAGACAAAAGATGGTAATGTAGGTGTTGTTTTTTCTAAGGGAAAACCTCAGGATTTGGGTTTAACTGCAGCGGTGGCACTTCGTGATAAATAAGTGGGCTCTGGGTTGAGTTTGTGTGCTCATCCCTAAAAGGTTTGCCATCTCTGGCTTATGCCTGTAAATATATACCTTTACTATTGTTTCAGTAGGATTCTGAGAAGAAGGCAAAAAAAGCGCATGCTTGGTCTATAAAATTTGCTCTAAAATCTCCATGTTAGCTGGAATAATATTTTTGATTTTGGCAAAAACAGAAATGGTAACAACTGGCCCAATGTGTAACACCCTCGGGACTGCACAGCATGGGCACCAGTGATCAGGGTAGAATAAGGTTGCCTGACCTTCGCAACTGAATTTCAGAATATGTTAACCTTTTGAGCATTTCTTGTACTTGCCCTAATTTTATATTCATCACTGTGACTTGAAAGAGTCAGACTGGAAATGTATTAGTCATCCCCTCGATAGACAAGTAAATGAAGTCGAAGTTAGACTGATTTAACAGTGAGTAGCCAAGTGTTGATTAATACGTCCCATTAAAATCTGGTTAGGGTAACACGTCACGTTTTCTGAGCAATGGTTCAGACCCAGTGTATCCCCAGTGAACAAAGGGTCGTCGTGAGGAGCTGTTCAGGAGAGCGCCGTTCCTGAGCTGCACTGCCATGTTCACCAGCACTAAACCTCTTTCAGGGGCTCGTGGTGATGTCCACAGACCTTGAAGAAGTGGTGAGCAGCATTCTCAACGTCAAAATTCCCGGAATGTGGATGGGAAAATCCTACCCAAGCCTCAAACCCCTGGGCAGCTACGTGAATGACTTCCTTTCCAGACTAAAATTCTTGCAGGTAATTGCATCCAAAATGAACACATCTTGTTGAGCACCCTCTGCCTTCGTCTTTTGTCCCGTCTTATTACCTTGCTGTGTCTGACATCCCAGGCTCAGATGGCCACTACCTAGTATTTCATATCACACAGTAACTGGTACCGTAAACTGTCAGATTAGTTGGGTGGGAAGTGGAGATTCTGCCTAAAACCTTCAGGAGCAGGTTTCATGTTCAGTGAAGTCAGACTTTCAAGTCGATGACATCTGAAGGCAAGGAAACATTTGGCAGAGTGATTTTCAATTAAAAATTTAACGTTAAAATAGACCACCATAGCAGAGCATCCTAGCAGGCCAGCCAGGCATAATGATGTCTCAGTACTGCCTTCTAGACAGGAAATCACTAGACGCCTCTTTCAGCTAGAGATGGAAATGACCTCTGTGACCAACAGTCTTGAGAACGTTGAATGGGCACAAGCCTGCCGCCTCTGTACCCGGCAATGCTGGTGCTTAACTGTTCTTTTCAGCAATTGTATCCATTATTAGTCAATCAGTTTCCTAGAAACTCTGTGTAAGGTATCAGACACTGTGAGGGAACTGCTACTCGGACAAAACGACTCAGCTCCATTTTCATAATTCAGGCCCACTTTTGCATGAGATTAAGATACTGCGGGTGTAAGACTAGGCTTGAAAGATAAGGCTCTGCCTTGGGCTCTTACAGGAGAACTTTTCAAGTGCATTTCTCCTGGCTTCTATAATTTTCCCTTTAGTGAAATCATTACTTACTAGCTCATGATTAGAATATTTGTCAAATAGGTAATGAAGATATCTTGCTATTTCTAAGTGCCTTAAGCTCTCACTACCCTGCTTGTTTGAGAAGTTCTTGCGCAGTGTTATGTTTCCATATGTTAGATTTCATTATTTTGGTGAGGACAGAGGAAAAACCTCCAGAAGAATATGCTACTGGGTGCTAATAATTAATTAGAAAAAAATTGAAAACAACTCCCACATGAGCCGCCCTGTGGGGACGTCTTCCGCTCATCTCTGCAACGATTGTGCAACAGCGCCCACGAGGGGGAGCTGTGGTTTGGCGAGTTTTTGAAGGGACCACTGGGCATGCGTAAAAAACACCTTTCTGCGTGCACCCACACGTGGGTGACTCCTCAACTGGTGTGAAGTTGACTGGGCCCAAACCCTGAAAATGTTCTTAGTGCTTTTGCAGACCTGGGAGTATGGCTCCTCGCGCCTCAGACTCACCCATTAGTTTCCCTAAAAGGTGACGAGTGCCTGGGGACATGTCTTCTTGAGAAGGGTCGTGCGCAAACATCGCAAGGCTCTGATGGGCACACCTGTGTTCTGGCCACCGCAGCAATGGTACGAGTCTGGGCCGCCCCCGGTCTTCTGGCTGTCCGGCTTCTTCTTCACGCAAGCCTTCCTGACCGGTGCCCAGCAGAACTACGCCAGGAGGCACACGATCCCCATCGACCTCCTCGGGTTTGACTACGAAGTGATGGAGGACAAAGAGTACAAGCAGGGGCCTGAGGACGGTGAGTGTGGTCGGGGCGGGCGGGCTTGCACCTCGGCGCCCGCGAAGCACGGCCGCGGGCTCCCTGGTCTCGGTGTGGAAAGGGTGATCAGCATGTAGCAGCCAAGGGCTGGGGAGGTTTTTATGGCGAGGGAACACACGATGAAGCAAAGGGAGGAAGGAAATAAACAACGGGTGAATCTGGACGGAGAGTTGTGTCTCTTGTAATTTTTCAAACTTCTGTGAAGTTAGAAATTATTTCTAATGAGAAAAAAGTATGAGAAAAGAAGGAAAAATGGAAACAAGGCTGTTGTCAATATGGAGGGGAAGAGAGGTTGAAGGGAGGGGAGGGGAGGGGAGGGGAGTGGGGAAAGAAAGAATCCGGTTATATCACGTACAGTACAAATTCCCTATGATGAATGTGATCATTATGTAAATCTGAAATGTACCAATACACTTAATTTAAAAAGGAAAGGAAGGAAGGAAGAAAGAAAGATATAATGAAATTAATGGTATGTGGGATAACCAAGCCTACTCTTATGTCGGCCGTCAGGAATCAGTATGGTGCAGAACTAAGGGGAGGTTTTTGCTGGCCCCTGTACAGACACGCAGGGTGAGTTCTCTTCTCTGACGTGCATCATTCCAAATTTAGTCAGTTAGAAGCATTTGTTTTATATTTGGCAGACTGATCTTGAGAAAACCTTTATTTCCTTAATTGATTATCTTTTCGATATTTCATGACTACTCAGATGTCTTGTTTCAGACTGAGTGGACAGGACCACTACTTTAAACTGTTATTTTTCAAATGCTGTGGAATCTTATATTTTACCGAAGTGACGCTGACTTTATTTATTTATTTATATATTTATTTTGTCTTTTGTCTTTTCTTCCGGTTCCAGGAATCGAACTCACGACCTTGCGCTTGCCAGGCAAGCGCTTTGCCGCTGAGCTAAATCCCCAGCCCCGACGCTGACTTTAAATGAGTGGTGTGTGTGTCTAAATGACTGTTAATGCATATCGCTTTAACTAACGGGTCGAAGACAGTTCTACCTCCTCCTAATGGACCTCTGAGCTGTGAATTCCCTGCTCACTCCTTTAGGCACTGAAGAAATCAACAGGGAACCGTTTAGGATCTTGTCCCTCAACTAATGTATGCGCTGGTGGGGGTTACTGACAGAGATAAGTAATCACAGTAGCGTTTCATACGCACATTAGTGTGCTAAAGTGGTTCTACTTTAAACTGATTGCCACCAATCTCAAGGGGGTTTGTGCTATGAAGCAATCCTGCTGCTATCCCCCTGGGAAATCTGTTTTCTTACTCTCAAAAGACCTCTGTCGCCCTTTTTCCTTCTCCCTACCCTGTCACCTTGTCCTTCATTACAAAAGCCAAAAGCTGTCAGAAGCAAGCTCGTAGCACCACCAAACCCATAAGCCTGTCGACTTCTGCACTCCTGGGAATCCTCATCCCATTTCCTTTCTCATTTCCAGGACTTTCCTTCTCTAACTGTGCCTCTGCTTTCCAGAATGAACAACATGCCTCTCAGGAATCGGTGACCCCTAGCAACACACAACATGCCTTAAAGAATCCCTCAAATCGAACCTTTGACAGACAATTCCAACTGTCTTAGAGTCCTTGACCCCTCAGCGCCTGTCTGTATTTCTGCTCCCCTTTGTAGCAAAACCTCTCGGAAGGAGCTGTCTTCGCCTGCTGCCTCCGAGCCCTCACCTCCTGCTTCCTGTCTACCTTTCACCCGCTGGAGTCCACGGACACTCCTCGGCGTTCATGACAGCTGCCATGCTGACAAAGCCCACTGGTTCCCTTTTGTCTGTGTCTTAACCGTTAAGTAATTTTCCTGACCCTGTGGCCACCGCCATTTCTGGCTAGCACTCCCAGTGGTGTCATTACTGAATTATGATCCTGAACTTATGCAGAAGACACATTTTTTAAAAATGTAAACATCATATCCGCCCTTAGACTCCACTGAAAAATCAGACAACTCAGTAGGTTACTAGTGGCCTTTCGCCTTTGCAGGTGGACACAGGCCCTCGCATGACTAGTAGGTCAGGCACGTTCTGGCCGCTGCCCCCGCCAGGCAGCCCGCTCAGCTCATGCTGACCTCCCCAGCTGCCAGGGGCCTCACGTCCCCCCCCCCGGGGTTCTGTGGCCCTGCTGCCCCTCAGCCTGGACTCACGTGGCAGACAGTCCACCTCCCTCACATGTCATCTTACAAAATGCTAGGTCGCCAGCAAAACACCTGCACGACTTCCATCTATCGAGGCTCCCACTCCCCCCATTAGCCTTGCGTACGAGTCTGCTTAGCTTCTGCTGTCATTTCACGTCAGGAGGATTTTCAAATTTTCCCCATGTCATTGTGATAAAAGGCAGAAAGTAGCATTTGGTTGAAGTCTGAGTAGAACTGATGATGTCTCTCAGTTATTAATTGCTGGACTCAGCTAAAAGATTGAATTTATTAAAGCATTGCACAGTCTATAAACTAGCGACTACCCAAGATCAAAGTGTTGGAGTCCCCGCCACTGTACACTGAACTTAGACACTATACTGGGTAGTTGTTGTTATTTTATTTTACAATGGTCTAGAATGGTTACTATTTCTTTTTACAGTGGTTTAATGATTTAATCCATAGCTGCTTTTATTAAAGAAGGCATTCACATCCAGAATTACCCTGAAAATAATGGAGGAGGACATATAACACAACTTATTTAATAATCAATGAAGACAAATTAGTGTTCCAAGATTGTACTGTAAAGGGTAACCATCTCCTAGAGAAACTATTGTACTGCCACCAGCGTGTTGGCCGAGGGTCGATAGATATTTGCTAATCACAAGTTTTATTATTTTGTGCACACACAGACGTTCTTACCCATAAACACACATCTCCAAACATGAGCTTCTATGTCTTTCCTGTGGTTTTCATTCCAACCTATGTAATATCAGAAAGACAGTGAGAGTCCATGAAATGATTTGGAGAAACGGGGTTTTTCCAAAGGAATCCCTCTCTCACGGGACCCTAACAGAAGGGGCATAATTACCTTCCTGAGAACACGTGGGCCAGAGCCAGTGTCTTTCTTCCCATCTTGACCCCTGTGCCAGCCTCTCTCCTTTATCCACACTTGAAAATGTGCCTTTTTCTGGCCCCTGGAGCTCATGATCAATCTTAGTCACCTAAGACGAAGTTAAACCATCACTGTACAAAGTCAATTGGCAAAGAAGGGCAGGTTTTCCCAGACGTCCATCACTCAGCTACCCGCCGAAGTAGCCACTCAGAAGTGTCCCTGAGCCACGTGTTGCTAATGGCTACCCCTCTCCCCGACGGCACAGGGATGGAACAGCTCCCTCCTGCCGAAAGCACACTCTTACATGTCACCTGGGTCAGCTAACAACCCCTCAAGGTAGACAGAGCCGGCGTGCAGTTCTACAGATGACTTCCAAGGTGTTCTCCGGTGGCAGAACAGGTTCAGAGGTTGAGTGAACTGGTCAGGCCACAAAGCAGATTAGGAGCGAACACCTCAGTCTTTATAAATCCCACATTGCTTCCTGACGTCTACACAAGCCCAGTATCTTTACGTGCGGATACCTGTATTCAATCCATGAGGCTTTGCAGATGCATGCTGCCAAAGTGGCCCTGCATGGTTGATTCCCTAGTGCACACCTTTTTTTTTTTTTTTTGAGACAGGGTCTTGCTCTGCTGTTCAGGCTGGCATGAACTCACTTGGTAGCCCAGGTGGGCCGGCCTCAAACTCATGCTGATCCTCCTGCCTCAGCCTCCCAAGTGCTAAGATTATAGGCATGCGCCGCCATGCCCAGCCTGCGTGCTCCTCTTTAACTGCTGGTGTGTGACATTACATTCTAGAGAGCTCATCCACGCACTCCTGCATTACACAGAGCAAGGAGCCCTCTTGGCAGTGGAAATAAAGTCTGCAAGGGGAGAGAAATTTGCCTGCAGGACATCGGGGGTGTGCAGAGCAGGATTTTGTTCATATACTGCCCAGCCATCACTGGGGCCCAATATTAACTTTGCTGATTTCATGGCTTCTGATATCATGATTATAAGCATGGTCAATTAAAAAGATAAATCTTGTAATGATTCATACCATAGACTAGCTTAATATTCCCTTTTGCTCTTTTGTCTTCCACACCTAAGTTTACCATTGCATTATTCTACAAGGCCAAGTCGAGATGTTTTTGAAATAATGGATGTTGAAAAAAAACACTCAGAGATCGCTTTTGCTTTAGGACAGAGCTTAGGCTAGTACCACCTACATAGTAGTCACAGCTAGGCACTTTTTATCCACAGCGAAATCAAATATGTACAGAGTGTTACATTAAATTTTTTGTTTTGCATTTAGGTGTTTACATTCACGGACTGTTTCTGGACGGAGCTTCCTGGAACAGGAAGATCAAGAAACTCGGAGAGTCCTATCCTAAAATTCTTTACGACACAGTGCCTGTGGTTAGTATCTTCTAATGATGTCTACGCGGTAGACACACATATGTCTGAAATACGCCCCATATACGTGTATCCACCGCAGTTCTGTTCTGTAACGTTGCTGCCAACTTTGAGTGAGCCAGTACTGAACCATTGCTCCTAGGGAGGTAGAAAGTTCTGCACCTGAATCTCGGTTGATTGATATGTAGTCTTGTTTCCTTTCTGTTTGAAGACCTCTTGTTTATTTATTCTTGATTAGTTAACATGAGTTCACAGCTCTGTCACTCCTCCCAGTGCAGTGATTGTTCTTTCTCTGTCCTGCACCTCACAGTCCCGGGGTTCTAGGGGCACTCACGACTCCCGCAGCACCCACTTGGGTGTCAGGGCAAACCCACCACAAAGAGCGCAGCCCCACCGTGGCACCCAGGAGACCCTGAGCAGGACGCCCACTCGAAACTGCGAAAGCTATAACAGGACCTGGAGCTTAGCCCTGCTCCAGCTGCCTGGGACTGCGTACCTGGGCTCACAGAGGTCCCGTGGCTCGGAGCTCTGCCCAGAGCCGTGCTGGTCTCGGGGTCAGAAACCAGGTTGATCAGTCGGGACACTTGCAGACATGGATCAGGAACAACCATCTCTGATGACGTTGTCGTGTCACTGAGGCATAAGGACATGGCTAGCTTTTTACACAATTTGAGATACAATCCAGGCTGTGGTCTTCGGGCAGCAGTCCAGTTACGGGAAACCCACTGCATACCAAGGTCCTTAGAACATGGCTCTCAAGTTGAAGGTCACAAAGGCTGTCTTTGTTTTGTTTTCTTTTCTTTTACAGGAAGACTCTTAAGTAGCTTGCTGTGAGTAGAAGGTATTTTTTATAACTGAGTAGCGATTCCTTTGAATGAAGTCTGCTGGTGAAATAAAAATTCTCGTTAGAAAACTCTCGCATTGATGTAAAATGAAACCTATCCATGAGTGCTTTGAGAGCATGTTGGGTCCCACGTGGTAGAAACTGTTTGGGGGCCCCTCATGGTAACCTGGACTCCATAGGTGTGTGGGAGAAACAGAGAAACCTATATCCTTTGTGGCTCCTTCATAAAAATTCTGCTTTGACCCGAGAAGCCTAAAAGAATGCTCTGACCAGTGGGGCCAGCACGTCCCGTCACCTGAAGGCTCGTGTACCCAAGACGACCACTGGAAAAACGAGTCTGGGTAAATTCTGAAACATGCTTATGACCCCGGTTGCTTCTTCACCCTTGCGTTCAAGGACCAGCTTGCTTCGACTGGGGAGTTCAACAATAGAGGGTAGTCATAACATTCTGGGAACTTGGCTAATGACTCTGAAAGAACGCAGTAAATACAAGGATGAAATTATGCTTTATTTGTCTTTTTTAAATTGGAAAATTGTGCTTTATTTAGGCACCAATGCTTGTACCACTGACAGAGAGAAACCTTCTTATTATAAGCATTGACACACGGTAGTTGTACAGTCACTAGGCTTCCCTGCGATACTTGCAAACATCATGCATCGCTCACCCCATCTCCCCTTTCCCTCGCCTCCCCTCCCCCATCCCCTGCCTTCTCACAGGAGAACGTGAGATGCTGTCTGGGTCTGGCTTACTTCCCCTCACATGCCCACTTTCAGATCTACCCATTTGCCTGCAAATTTCATTCTTGTTTGCGGCTGCACATGCTCCTCCGTGTAGAATGCAAGCCCTGTCTTTATCATTCATCCCTTGACAGGCACCTAGGCCGATGCTGCTGTGCATTATGCTGAGATAAACATGAGGATCCAAGACTCTGTGGTCTGCTGACTTGTCCTCTGGTTATGTGCCGAGGAATTGTACAGCTGGACCCTAAGGCAGTTCTCCTTTTAGCTTTCTGAGGAACCTGCATACCAATTTCATAGTGGCTGTACAAATTTGCATTCCAACAGTGTATAAAGGTTTCTTTCGCCTCGCCAGCATTTATTATTTTCATGTATTCTTGATGACAGCCACATGATGGGTGTGATTTGCATTTCCCCAATGGCTAATGATGATGAACATCTTCTTGTGCAATGATTGGCTTTTGTATTTCATGGTTTGCAAAATACCTTTTCGATTCATTTGCCTGTTGAGTGATTGGAATAGTTGTTCTTGGGTGTTTTTTGAATTACACATTCTGGTATTAATCCTCCGTCAGGGGTAGCTGACATTTCTCTACTCTGCTGGCTGTCTCTCTGTTCTGTGGACGTTTCTGTCGCTGTGCAGAATGTTTTTAAGTTGACGCAATCCCATTTGTCAGTTCTTGCTATTATTCCCTCAGCTACTGAGTCTTATTCAGAAATACCCCCATGCTGAGACCCTGAAGTAGCCCCCTGTTTTCTTCCAGCCGTTTTGAAGTTTTGAGTCTCACATTTAGGTCACTGGTCCATTCTGAGTTGATGTTTCATAGGGTGAGAGATGGGGGTCTAGTGTCAGCCTCCTATGGTGGATATCAGGCTTCCCAGCAGCACGGTGCAGAGGCGCTCTTTTCTCCGGGTTTGCTTTCGGGACCCTGGTGGAGAATCGTGGCTGGCTGTGCCGTGTTCATTTCCAGGCTTTGCCGGCTGTTGTGAGCGTGCTCTGTAGCGTGTTTTGCGTCAGGTTTCACGCTGTCTCCGGCTTTGCTCTTTTTGCTCGGGATTGCTTTGTCTGTTCAGAGTTGCTTCTGCTTCTGCAGAATTTTAGAAATGTTTCCTCTACTCTTGGGAAGAACAGTACTGATATTTTGATGCTGGTTGCACTGAATCTGTAGATCACTTTTAGTAGTACAGCCATTTGAATATTTATTCTTTTAATCCATGATCTTGGTGAGGGTCTTTCCAACTTTAAGTGTCTTCTTCAATTTCTTTTTTTAGCGTTTTGTAACTTTTGTTGGAGAGGGCTTTCACTTCCTTAAGTTTGTTCCTAGATATTTTACATTATTTCGATGGCTATTGTGAATGAAATTGCTTTCTTGGTTTCTTTTTCAAAAAAATCCGTTATTGGTATACAGAAAAGATACTGACTTTTTATGGTGATTTTATATTCTGCTGCTTGAGCGGACGTGTTCATAAATTCTAGCAGTCAGGGCCCGCGCTTCTGTTCTCCGGGTGTGTACGCCCTCAGCTCTGCCTGGTACTTTCTCTGCCTTTTACTTTCTCTGCCCTGTAAATTCTTTTCCTGACGGGAACTGGCGAACCTGTTCCAGGGCTGCATGAGTCGAGGTCTCCATCTCCTCCTCGGGACCCTCCTCAGACCCCGTCCAGTGATACCTTTTGCTGAGCCACCACGAGGTAAGCTGCGGCGCCAGCTTTAACTCTTTGCCCGCCGATCGCACGGCCTCCTCTCTCCCTGCAACCCTCTGCCTCTTCAGTGTCCCTTGTCAGCACTCACAGGCTCCTGAAGTCAAGTACGAGGGCGGCTCTCGGACAGCCTTGCTCTACGATCTCTCTTCCTGCAAAGAAAGCGCTCTCATTTCCTTGATTTGTGAGTCAAACACTGACTGATTTTCAGTCCTTTTCCTGTGGTCTGCAGAAATGCGGTCCCCCAGAGAACAACGCCTGCCCTGCACATTCTACCCGAGGAGGTGCTGTGGGGAGGGGAGGCGGTTTGCACCTGGGTCCCTGGGTCCCTGGGCCACCATCCATGGCAGGACCCAAGGCCACCCGGTGCCCTCTCCCACCCGACTGGCAGCACCACCCACACCCGGTGGATTCGTGCTGAGCCCAGGGCCAGGCCCCGCCTCAGCCGGTGATTTCCTCTCCAAGATGCTTTCCCCGGCCTCCTTCTGCCCTAGCTTGGCGGGCCGCGCACCTCCCCTCTGGCCAGCCCCTTCCTTCTTCCACATTTCGTTCTGTCTCTTAGAACCACCCTAGCCTCGAGTTTCACTCCTGGTGGAGGCCAGGATGCACTTGCGTCGCTGCTGTGGACAAACCAGAAGCCCCAGGTCCCTGCCGTGTCTGAGCGATCAGCCTGCGCAGGAAGTCTCCGAGCTCCGCGTCCCCGATGAGCTTGCATGCTTTTGAGGGCACCGGGAACGCCGGGGAAGCCGACGGCTCCTGCACCAAAGAGCAGAGCTGTGGCTTCTAGGAATGGCGCGAGGAAACGGAAGCCAGTGAGTCCCTCGTGGGGCAGCCAGCGCCACAGCCTGGGAAGACGGCTGCCAGGCTCCGTGGCAGGACAGCTAAAGGGATCCTGTCTGTTCTGTTATTTATCACTTTTCCGAAGTGCTGAAAGCGTTCCTCTTTCAGGATTGTGGCAAAGTCAGAACAGCACCCTGGGGTTGTATTTTACAAAACTAGGACCATTTTAAAACAGATGATGCTTTCGTTGATTTTTATCTGTCATTCATCTTAGCCTAAATGTAAATTAGAGAGTGAAAAGACAAGGCCTCAAACTTGATTTTGTAACAAGGAGGGAAAAGTGCACGAAGACCCCAACTAGCAACTGCAGCCCCGCTCCCTCCGCTTCAGACTCTTCTGGGTTTCACTCCGGGATGGCAGTGACCGTAACTGTGACCAAAAGCACTGCTTTGTGATTCACAGAAGAATACAGTGCTAACGGTAACCCCTAGGGGGAGCTCTGATTCGCCTATGTATAAATAAACTTTAAAAAGCAGAGAAGGAGAATACTCTGGCACGCTCAGGACCTTCTAAAGCACACTGATTCAATGGAGTTGTCTGACCCATCTTACACTGTTTTCTGTCTGCTTGCTAATCTGTAATAATTGGCTCAAGTGTTTGCAGCTGCTCCTTTTTTTTTTTTTTTTTTTGGCTTATAATATTTTCTTTTCTTTTTTTTTTCTTTCTCCCCACCCCTACAGATTTTTCTCTCGATATTTGGGTTTTTTAAAAAATTAGAGTCTCTTTAAAACCCAGCCATGACCTGGAAAAAATGCTGGGATCAGTCTTATATAAAGCTTACAAATAAAAGCCTTAAAATTTAGTGCCATAAAGCTTGCGTATATAAACATGCTTATACTTAGGGTTCTGTATATACCCTAGAAAACCTGTTCTCCAAAAGTTGGCTTGTGGATGAATAGACACTCTTGTAATTCGCCCAAATGCCTTTGATCACATAATTTAATGAACAAGTTAATTCAAGTTGGCCAGCAAAATAAAATGTCCTTAAAATTACTGACATACACTTTGGCTAGGTTGTTGGCCAGTCGTGTTAATATTTACCTTTATTAGAAAAACACAGGGCTGGGGATTTAGTTCAGTGGCAAAAGCGCCTGCCTGGCAAGCGCAAGGTCATGAGTTCGGCTCCCGGTACCGGAGAAAAACCAAAAAAAAAAAAGAAAAAAAAGAAAAACACAATGTCTGCTTTCCGTTTCAAGGCCCACAGCCTTTAGGGCTTCCTTGGGCAGAGAAACAGCTGAAGTACTAGTTATGTTTGTCCAATATCCTGACTTCACAAGTAATATAAAACTAGTTGTTAAGACAGGTAAATTAAGATATAAATGTATACAGTGAAAGACCTGAGTCAGCAGTAGCTAACTGTAAATTCGAGCATTCTTGGCTTCTTGAGGTTTTTACAAAGAAGATAAATGGGTTTATTAAATAATTTTCATAAATTATTACTGTATACAGAAGGTTTAAGACTGCTTCCTTAAGGTTACCAAGGACTAAAATTATAATGTATAATTCTGGGTATAAAATTGTAAACAAGGAAAACTTTCCACTTAAGGAGAACCCTTAGGGTCTGGGGGACCAAGGACAGAAGCCCTCAGCGGCTGCCACAAACAGCTGCCAGAACCAGATCTGCTGTTCATGAAAAGTCTACAAAACCTGAGCTGATGAACAAAGGGTTTATATTTTATCAAGATACTTTCTTGTGTTTTCGGCTATCAGGCTTTTGATTGCTTCAAACTGAGTTTTAACTACTCCAGGTTCATGTAAATGTCTGTCTGTCTTAGTTACTGTTCTTGTTGCGACAAGACGGTGAGACAAAACACTCACCACCCACAAGTTAAGGGAGGGAAGGTTTAGTTAGCTCACAATTTGTAGAGGTTTCAGTAAATACTTGGCTGGCTCCAAGGCAGAGTGGCACATGGCAGAGGGGCATCACCGAGAACAGTTCATGACACCCACAAGATAGCAAAAGCAATGAGAAAGAAAGACAAGACCCTTTGTGTCCCTTATATTGAATGCAGGCTACCCGCCCTAGAGTAGTTGTAGCACTCACACCCTTACTCTTAGCCAAAACTATGCCAAATCAGTCAGTGGACTGACTTACTAAATGCACATCCTTAATCCCAGCATCACACACTCTACATCCAGCCACTTCTAAAACGCCCACCCCTATGACCGCATGAGGCTTTCGGGGGGACATACAGACACAAACTATAATGTTCTGCCCCTGGCCCCCCAAAGACTTACGCACATCCCTTTACGCAAAAGGCATTTAGTCCATCTGTAAGAGTTGCCAAATCCTAACAGTTTCAGCATTGTTAAAAATTCCAAGTCCCAGGTCTCCTCTGAGATTCAAGGCAAGCTCTTAGCTGCAAGCCCCTGTACAAATGAAAAGGAAATTCCAACATTCAATGGCACAGGATAGACATTTCCATTTTGAAAGGTACAAATGGGGATACAAAGAAATGGGACCAAAGCAAGTCCAAAATCCACTAGGGCAAACATTAAGTCCTACAGTTTCATGTGAAGCATTCCAGCAATCTGTGGCAAGATCTACCTCTAAAGGGTTTGGGTGGCCCCGCCCCTATGGCATTGCTGGTGGCGGCAGCTCCCATGGCTTCTCTCTGGGGCTGGCTCTGCTTCCTCCATGCAGTTTTTCTCAGACCATCCACGTTCCTGGCTTCTCCAAACTTCTGAGGTCTGCACTGCACCTTCAGCTTCACACACTGCCCTCTCAGAGACACACTGCCCGGCCGCCCCAGGCTTCTTCTGAAACCTAAGCAGAACCCTTCCTGACCTTACAACTCTTGCATTCTGCATGTACCTAAAGCAAGCACCACATGTATGATGCCAAGGTCTGCTGCCAGATGAAGCAGTAGCCAGGCTTTCTTTTCTCTTGGCCATAGGGGTCCAGGGCCTAGGAACGAAATCCTGAGGAAAACTTCCCCGGGCCAGTGCCATTCTGGACCACAGTGCCCAAGCTCTCTTCTTAAAGCAGTTTTTCACTTTTGCAATTTTGAGGCTGCAAAGGGTGGAGTCCTGCTGCTTTTTGTGATGCCCTCAAGCCATCCTTTCTATTCTCCTGTTCCTTCTCAGCAGTCAGTATCTCCTCTCCTCTATCTTTGCAGGACACAGCGTTATTGGAGCTTCCTTTCTTGCCAAACACACAATGTTTTAAATCATTCTGCTGTGCTTTTTGCTCTTGATTCCCAATATGATTTGGCTAAAAGCCCCCAACAATAGCCATGCCACCAGCTCAACATTTGACTGCCTCAAAATTTCTTCTGCAAGATTAGCCCCCTCCCCCTAGTCTCGGTCTCAGGCTAAGTCTGGATATGAGTTAAATGAAAACAGACTTTCTGCCAATGTGTAACACAACATCTAGTTTCTAGCAGCCAGTACAGTCCTGCTTCCCAGCAGAAACTTCCTAAGCCTGGACTTTACTGGCTTTCTGGCCTTCTGAGCTCTGACAAGAATCTCCCATGATACAGCCTAAGGTGTTCCAGCTCTAGCTTTTCAGCTGGCATCTCTCAGTCATTCCAAACTCTTCCCACAAGCCATTCCCAAAGGCTCCTGAACCACATGGTCAGGTTATAGTCACAGCAGCAACCCCACTTCTCTGGTACCAAATTCTTACTTTTCTTTTTACTGAAATAAAGTATCTGACACCCAAAATTAAGGGTGAAAAGATTTATTTAGCTCACAGTTTGTAGAGGTTTCACTCTGGTTAAGTAAACAACGATTATTTTAGGTTATTATATTTGGCACCTTTCACTTATGCATAGGAGACCCCTTTCACCAGGAAGTTGAACCCATACTTTCTATAGATTGGCAAGTTTCAGATATCCACCCCCAAAACACAAACATACCCAGAGCCAGAGCACAATACACCTTTCTCTTGAGGGCCTGCACTCTATTTCCTGTGTGTACTGCTTTAACTCTGCCTAATAATTAACTTCTGTCTCTTTAAAAACAAGTTCTAATTTTATATGTTGGAAATTTCTTGAAAGTTCTGGTTTTGTGGTAGTCTTCAGGATTTTGCATGTATATAATTTATCATCTGCGAATAGGGATAACTTGACTTTCTCCTATTTGTAGTTCCGTTTTTATTGTCTCACATCTATTACTTGCTCTAGCTAAAATTTCAAGTACTATATTGAATAAGAGTGGAGAAAGTGAATACCTTTGTCTTGCTCTTAGACGAAACACTTTCACTTTTTCCCTATTGACTATGGGTCTGTCACATAAAACCTTTATCATGAGGTATGATCCCTCTTATAACTCTTTTGTTCAGGACTTTTATCATGAAGGGATGTTGAATTTTATCAATGGCTTTTGCTGTGTCTATGGTGATGAACATAGGACTTTTATCCTTCCATTTTATTTAAGTGATGTAATATATTTATCTGCAGTTTGAATCATCCTTGCATGGAATAGAACCACCTTGATCATGATGTATGTAGTAATCACTTTTCCTGTTTCTGGGACATAGTAGGGAAGCGCACGACTTAAGTTTATTTAGCTCACAGTTTCAGAGGATGCAGTCCATGGACAGCTGGCTCCAAGGCAGAAACATGGTGGTGCAAAGCTGTTATATCCTGGTGACTGGGAAACAGAACAGGGTAACAGTACAAGAGAGGAAAGGGAAGCTGGGCATGATGGCGCACGCCTGTAATCAGAGCAGGTGGGTGGCTGAGGCAAGAGGACTGCCATGAGTTTGAGGCCAACCTGGGCTACACAGTGAATGCAAAGCCAGCCTGAACTGCCTAGTGAGACCAGGTCAAAAACAAAACTAAAAGAACTGATTTTTTTTTTTCTGTTCTGAAGTTAAGTTATGACAGTTCTTTGAAAATGTCTTGTGAAGTCACAGCAAAACTGAAATCCCCCAGGGCACTGACAGATGCACCTAACCTGGACCTCACGGGAAGGTGTCGTGCGCTTTCTTCCAGATGTGGCTGAAGCCCTGCAAGAGGGCAGACATCCCCAAGCGGCCGAGCTATGTCGCACCACTGTACAAGACCAGCGAGCGGAGAGGAACCCTGTCCACCACAGGCCACTCCACCAACTTCGTGATCGCCATGACCCTCCCCTCTGACCACCCCGAGGAGCACTGGATTGGCCGGGGTGTGGCACTGCTGTGTCAGCTCAACTCCTAACCCCCAGAGGCCACTGCCTGGGCCCATTTCTTGTTAAGATGGCTGAGTAAAGAGTATTTTGTTCAAACAAGTTTTTTTGGCTTCAATAAATCTGAGTAACTTTCCTAACTATGAATTTACTAGGTGCGAATGCAGCCCACACTTATAATAAATGACACGTCAACATAAGGACATTTTCTGAAGCAGTGAAGGAAACATGGCGTATCTGCTCTTTTGGAATAACTTTATTTTGGGAGAGTTCCATAAGCATTAGGAACATACATAAAATGACATACCACTGTTGACAATGAAAAAAACAGCATATGATCATTTCCAGCTTTATAAATTTTTAAAAAATGATTTCAGTTACAGCAAAAAAGTTTAGATATTTTAGCAAGAATCACCTTGCAGGACCATAATCACATTTAAGCCACTGACTTACTATTAATGGAAAAAACTCACACTGCACATAGTCACTATAGTATTTCTAGCATAATCACAGCTGATTGAATGCAATGTGATATACATCAAAATTCATATGGATGTCACACAGTGACAGCATTGTACAAGTAACATTAACGACCTCCAACAAATGTATGTTAAAATCAGACTGGTCAAGCTAATGGAATGTTGGAGCCAAAGAGAAATGTAGTGGAATTAAGATTGTCTAGTAAGACTTGAAACTATGCAATTAGAAAAATGATGTGAAAACTAAACACTGGTGGAACCCTATCAAAATACTAGCAGCAACTGTTACAGCCCTCTTATGAAGTTAAGAAAATCTAGCAAAGAAAGATAATACCACTTCTGAAGAATATAAAACTTTATATACCTTAGCATAACCTATCTGCTTTAAATGAGGCATTTATTTTAAGACTGGGAATATATTCCAGCTGTTGCTTTTAAATGAAGCAGATTTAAAGCTGGAATGCAGAATCTTCCTTGGGCATAAAACCCAAAAATGAACCGTAACTATCGCCTGGTTCAGAAAGCAAGATCCCTTGAAGTTGGCAGTACTAAATCAAATGTCAGCACCTTTCTGCTGGGTGGCTTGAGGGGCCAAGCAGTGAGATGAGGGCTGTCCCAATTCAGTGCCTGACGCTGAAAACAATGTCTGTGGTTTAAAAAAATACTCCGACTTACTACAAAGAGGCCACGAGAAAAGCAGAAGCAATTTCCAGATTCAAGCACAAATTAAAGATGTAACAACACCACGCTCCCCACCTTGCAGCGTCAACAAGAAACACTGGCAACAACCTATGAACGCCTGGACGGACGCACACGCTGCTCCCAAAGTTTGGTTTTCGGAGGAAGCGAGGACTCAGTGGAGACACCTCACATGGAATGGAGAGTTTGGCTCTGACACGTCTGAGTGGGAAGATCTGAAGAGCTACGCTGGCTCCAGGCAGGGGGAGACACAAACCGGTGGGCAGCAACGCGTGGCACGAAGTGTAAACGAAGTCTACATGCAGGGCTAGCGCTACAGGCCACGCACCAAGTTCGGGGAAACGTGGCCTGCGCATCTCACAAGTCATTTACAAGTATGATCCGTAGGAGAACGGGTACTGAGCGAGACACTGGTCTCCATCCTATCAGGCACCAACAGCACGTCCTGGCACAAAGGAGCCAGAGACTACAGCTCAGTCTCCGACCCCACGGCCACCCAGCATCGCAGGGTCTTCACCGTGCGGGTGACATTTCCTGCACAGTGCACAGGTAGCCGTCACCTTGGACTCACTGCCAGTCACAGCCTGGGCCTGGGTCCCGACGCCAAGCTGGCAATGTGAACACCTGGAGCTTGAACCTCCCAACTAACCTAGCTATATTTTCAAGTTGGAAAACCGAGTAATTTAGACCATGTTTGGGTTCATTTCTTTGATATGTCCTAGAAGGTTGTAATCTTAAGTAAAAAACATTGACCACATGCTCTGACACGCCCCACCTCCCCCCAAAGCCCCCAAACAAAAACAAAATTATGGTTAAAAAAACAGAAAAATACTCCCAAATACCAAGTATTGTAATAGTACAAAGAACCATTATGAATCTGTCATTAAACTGAAGCTCACACAAACATACAATCACAAATTTCAGTAGTTTAGGCTGCAAGTTTAAACACTATGCAAATATATACAAAAATAGTAACTCTAGATTCAAGAATAAGGGTTTCCCCAATGCTAAATTCATACTCTAATGCAGCCTGAGCTTTCCTCTAGGTCCTAGCCTACTGTGTGGTTTCAAAGTTGTGTCAAGTTGATCCCTATCACCGTACAGACAGACGGAGCAGAAATAAAGGGCGCTGCATTTCATTCTCAGCACAGACTCGTCTGCCCAAAGTTCATTTCAAATATTCTTAAGGTTTAAATGATTTTTTGGTTCAATTTCTATTTCTGCATAGCCACAGAAGTTTCTACTAATAAGGAGACTACTTTAGTGTTTTATATGATTATTTTTTTAAAAGTCTGAATCAAACATATACTGACGTTAGTTCACGGAGTCCCTCTTGTCCTCTGTCTCACACTGTAAAATATCCCATACGCGGGACGAGTACTGAGCACCGGTCTGGGGAGAGGTTCAACCTACGGACTCCTGAGCAGCGCCCGCCGCGCGGGGCCAGCGGCCAGGCCGCGCGGGACGCCCGCGTCCTCGGAGGGGCTCACTGGCAGCTCAGAACTGGATGTCGAGCACGATTTTGTCTTCATAGAGCGCGATGATGAGCATGATGGCGAAGCCGAACAGCAGCCCCAGGTTCTGCAGGACGAACTGCCCCACCGGGCAGAAGCCGTGCTCCTCGTTGTCCCCGTCTCCGTGCAGCATTTCCGGGAGCTGGGGAGAGGAGACACAGCTTTAGACACAGCGACACGTCCGTGCAGTCTGCACAGGGCAGCTCCCCGCTCCAGTTCTAGTACAACTGCTGCACCTTTCTTCTCCTGTCTCAGCGCTGTAAGGGAAACCTCTCCTCCCTTCAGAGTCCCTCACCGCTCCCCGTCGGCCAGGCACGGGGGTGACCCACACCGCCCCCATCAGTTCCGGCCTGGGCACCGACGCCCCGGCCGCCTGACCGGCCCACTGGCTCGGCCGCACGGGCGGACGCCAGAGAGCACAGAACTGGACGCGGAGCACGACTTTGTCTTCACGGAGCGCTCCGGTGTCCGCCCAGACGTCCTCCGGGCACCTCAAACTAAACCGTGTGGCGCTGCTGAGATCTGACCACAGGGCTTTAAATAAGTAAAACTCTTCCCGTAGCAAAGGCGGCCTTCATAAAATAAAAAGGCAGTCGGGTCACTCGGGCTCCTCAGAGTCACAGACCGTTAGCACACCTGTCATGATCTGCTTAGCATCGGCCTATGGACCATATGGACACCATTTCCAATCCATTTCTTCTACTCAACATTTAGAAAATCTGTCATTTTGGGTGAAAATAAAAACCTTAGAAAATATACACACTTTGTTCCCTTTCTCTTGAACACTTACAGCACTTCTAATGTAACCGTGACACCGCAAAACATGTCATTCTGTTTGCCGGCTTGTTTTGCAGTAGTTATTTCAGGCTGTTTCCTCAGCGTCAACCTTGGGAGCGGACGTGCTGCGGAAGTGACGCGCCCCTCCTCGCTCCGCTGAGCCCTGTGCGTGCCTAAGCCTCCCTCAGATGTCCTACCACACACAGCAGCCCCGCGCCGCGCCGGCCTCCTCTCCGTGGCGCCAAACAAGGTGTGCCACGCGATCACGACACGCGCCAAGAGCTGCGGTGAACGGCGCTCCCCTCTGCACACAGCCTTACCGTAAAACCCTCTTACGGTACGCACGCATGAGCCAGGGAGGCCCAGCTCAAAGCAGAAGGAGAGATCAACTGCAGTGCTGCCTCCAGGACAAGCAGGCGGCCGGGGGCACTAAGCCAGGCTGTGGCCCACGGCAGACTTCACGAAGGCCGTCCTGCCCGCAGGGCCCTCGGGGACAACCCACCGCTTCAGACTCAAGGAAGAGACACCAAAACTAAGCAGTGATTTGCGGAACCAGGGAGAACAAGAGGGCGGCAGCTGGAGGAGAGGCTGAGTTCACAGAGGCCTCTCTCCCCAGGGACAAGGATGGCCCGGCCAGCAGCGCCCACAGGGCCAGAAAAGCAGGGCTGGGAGCAGCATGCAGGGCTGCGTGGCTGAACACAACACGTCTTCGTGATACACGGAGGGGGCTGCAGGGGCCCAGGAAGCAAGAGGCCAGAGGACACTGAGGAGACGAGCGATTCAGAGGTCTGCGGAGAGAAGGCTACCCAGACGTAACAGAATGCAATATGCCAGAATCCCTTCTTTTGAGAATAGGCATTAAATCTGTGATTACAAGTTCAGGCTGTGTACTTATGAAAGGAGACTACGTGACAGTCTGCCTCGGAATAAAAGTGCATGTGCTATCCGGTTAAAAACAAACCAGACTGCTAGCTCTACAGAGACACTGTCATATTTGGGGTCTTACAGCAAAATTAAAGTCAAATTGGCAGTGTTTAGCCTTATTAGCTTTAGGCAAAAGTTAGCAAAAAAAGGTTTACAACTTGAATTTCTTGGAATACACACCACTGCCTAAAGACTGGCTCAGCAGACATTTTTACCATATACCAAGCTTGACAAAGGATTTTGTTCAACAGCAATAAAATACTTCTGTCCCAACATCACAAGACCTGCAGAGCAGTGTAACTATTCTGTAATCACATATAATGCTGCCATTTTTTTAAAACAGTGACATCATCTGGTCAGAAATTTTCAGCATCCAAACTGTTTCCCCAGAAAGGGTATCTACCTCAACGGCTCTCCACCAGTAAACACGCAGGGTGCCGCTTCTTCAACGCAGCTTCTACCCCATAGGACAGTCCGGCCTCAAACCACTGCAGGGTTCCTTCCGTTTCTGAAAGCTGCAGTCTATGTGCGGGTTTAGGCTAAGAAGAAAGCATGCAGCATCTTACCATGTCCACCAGAGCCACGTAGAGGAACATGCCTGCAGTGATGGCGAAGATCCAGAGCGTGATGTTGTTGGCATACTGGCCCACCGCCGTGCCGATAAGCATGCCCACGTATGCCATCATGGCGGAGAGGAGGTTGTACACAATGGCCTGCTTCACCGTCATGCCGGCCTTCAGGAGGACAGCGAAGTCACCTGCCGCCAAGACACAGGGGACAGTTTCGGGCCAGTGTGAGTGGAGAAAACCAGTGAGAATGAACAGCCACATTTAAAAGATCCCTGTTAACAATGGTGGCTGGGACGGAGCTTCTGGGGGTGACAGAAGCCCATACCTGTTAGAATGCAAAGAACTATCTACACAAAATGTCAGTATCACTGAATGAGAACTTAAAATGTATTTTTGGAAAGAAAAACAGTCAAGAAGAATACAAAAGTGCCCTGCTCTTCTAAGTAACAGGAGCTCTCTGCTCTGCCTTCTTTCTTCAGAAAGAACGGGCCCGTGGAGGACAAAGACAAGCAGCTCTCTCTTCTGGGACTCACATCTACTTTTTCCTCCAGAAAAACACCCAGCCTTAATTCTGAACCTCCAAGTGTAAGAGGAGTGAGCGCTCTCCCCGCAAGTGGGCTCTCCCCATGATGAGGCGGCACAGATGGGCCTGAGGGAGCGTGTCAGTCACGGAGCTGAAGACAGAAGCACACAGAGGAAAATCCTGAGGATTTTCTCCCACTCATCTGTCTGCAGCTGGAACACTGGCGAAAATGATTAATTTCTGCTCTGAGAGCTGCCAGGCCAGCAAAGCTCTGTCACAGATAACTCTTCAATCTCAAGTCTAAAGCAATAGATTTACTTATGAACAGTTCTTTCTCCTTTAGTTACCCAATGTTCCAACATCCAATCACCTACTGAACACTTCCTACACCAGTAAGGTGCTCCATGACCCGCTGATTGGCTTGTTTCTTTATTTCAAAAAAGAATACTAACATCTACACACCTAAAAATATCCATCACTGGCTAAATCTGGTGCACTGACCTATGTGTTTGTTCTTTTAACAATACCAACTGCTTTCATTACCCTAGCTTTACAGTAAGTAGGCCTTGAAGTCAACTTTTTCTTTTTCAAAATTCCTAGCTATTCAACTTCCTTTCCCTTTCCATAAAGGGAAGGCAGTAAATAAATCTGCAAGAAGTATTAATGTCTTAACAATAAGGAGTCTTCCGGTCTGTGTACCTGATATGAATCTTTCTTCACTTAACCTGGTTCTGATTTCTTTTGTTGGTAATCTGTGGTTTTCAGCATACACTATGTATATTGTGTTAGATTAAGCTAAACAGCTCATCATTTTAGTGCCACTGTAAATAGTAATTTTTAAAAATTTAAATTTTCAATTATAGACTGTTGGTATATGTCAATATAAATGTTTTTGTGTAATAATCTTTGATCAAGTCAATCATGTCATTTGAAATGTATTATGTCCTAGTCTTACTTTAGGTTATGAATTCCCCAAAATTTCTGCACATTTTCTGCTTTCTCTGAACTTCTCTTCTCTGTAAGAACCTACATAAACATCTTAAAAATAAATCAAAGGACTTCCCCATAACTGGGCTCTATACTAAGTCTACTCATCTTTTGATAAGTAAGTATTTTCCTTCCTGGTGTCAATGGATTTCATTAGCACAAGGAATGAAGTGTACTTGTCAAGCTGTAAAATCAATGTTTTCTAATGCTGTAATTCTGTGAACATTTGCTAACATCAATTCCTGAGATTTTTGAAAAAAAATTACACGCTGGGCCTGGTAGTATGTTAACTATAATTTCCATACTCTAGGAAACTGAGGCAGGAGGATCCCAGTTTAAGTTCAGTCTGGGCAATTTAGCAAGACCCCATCTGAAAATAAAATAGTAAAATGGGCTGGGAAAACCCTGTGTTCCATCCCCAGTATTAGGGAGAAGGTAATTTCAGGGTTCTTCATTCTTGTTTTAAATGCTTTAGTACAGATTAAATCTATACAGTGAATGTTCAATCTTCCCTGGAAAACCAAGCACATTACAAAAATTTTATCTTGAATTTCAATTTAACCCTTAATACATATAAGGAGGAAAAATATTACACTGCTATAGCATCTCTGAGCTGAGTCTTAACATAGCAGAAAATGCCCCATCCAGCCAGTATATTTTCATTTGTTAGTTGCCGAGGTAACAGTTCCAGATATAGTTATTGTTATTTTTGTGTTTTAGAAATAGCTGGTCAGGTGGGGCATGGTAGCGCATGCCTGTAATCCCAGCAGCTAGGAGGCTGAGGCAGGAGGATCATTTGGAGTTCGAGACCAGCCTATGCTACATAAGTGAGCTCAAGGCCAGCCTGAACTGCATAGCGAGACCCTGTCTCAAAAAAAAAAGAAATAGCTGATCAGGCTGGTGATATAGCTCAGCAGCACAGTGCCTGCCTGCACAAGGTCCTGAGTTTGATTCCTGGTACCAAAGAAAAAGAAAAAAAAAGAAATAAAGAAATGGCTGGTCACTGTGATGCATACTGTGATGCATAGCTGGTCACTATGGTGCATACTGTAAGAAGCAGTCAAAGACAGCCAAGTACTCTGCCTCTGTACTTCCCCTTGCAGGCCCCATAAAAACCTCCCTCCCTGTGCCTTCGTGGCCTGACATCCTAGAAATGACCCCACTCATTACCTGTCAACGTGAAATAAAGCTGCCCCCAAATCCTGGGTGTCCTGTCGGTGTTTCTACTTGCCTGTGCATCTGGTGTGTTGCCTGGCTTCCTTGGTCAGCTGTCACAGCCCTCGTAGACAGAACAGGGACTCTGCAGGCCCCAACAAGGTGAGCCTCAAGATCTCTCAAGCCCCCAGGAGGTCTGGAGGATTCCCAGCTCCCTGCTCATGGGGCTCACATCAAAACCCAACAGGAGGAGGATCCAGTTTGCCTGCCTGCCTGCCTGCCTGATTCTGGTAAGATCTCCAGGGGCACCCCAGCTAGTCAGTCAGTCCTGCTTAGCTGTGCCGCTCTTGAGGGAAGGGGGTTGGAATGTTCAACCTCTAGTGCCCGCTGAATGAATGTACGAGTGGAGCAGACAGCATAAGCAGTAGGCTGCTCCGCCTGTGCACCAAGACTGGGAGGCTCTGGTCACGGTGGCTGGCTGGGCCTCACCTGCGGTTCTGTGGTGATCGACATATGGCATAATGGAAGCCTCACATCCTCTTTAGCTAAGTTGCTTCTAGGTCTCTGCAAGAGGCACAGCCAGGTGAGCATCTGAATGGTCTCTCTCTGTGGGGCATCCACTCTTTGTCTGTTGTGCCATCGTACAAGGAAGTCAGAGATGGAAATTACTCAAAATCCAGTCCCTGATTATAGGAAGAAGGGCTTTCCTGAGATTAGAGTTAAAAATGAAACCAAACCACTCTCCGCATCTCAAAGAAAGGGAAAAAAAAGGAAAAAAGAGGCCCATCCTTCCTGAGAATTCTGCCTTGGCTCCCTCATGGGATGCAGCAGTTGCTGCCAACACCTATAGCTCCACTCCCCACTTGTGACTCCTCTACTTCCAGCCGACTGAACCAGTTTCAGCTGGCCACTGCCTGCATCCAGCCATGGAGCCCCCCACTCCTGAGCCTTCCGCTTCCCACCGTGGTCAGATGGCCTCATCTAACACCACCTGAGATGACTGTCAGTAATTCCTTCTGAGTTTCACATTCTGACTGACAAAAAATTGGACTGTCAACCCTAACAAATGAGTTGCCACAGCCTTTCCTCTCCGCCTAGAAAGCTAAAATCAGTCAAGTGCGTCTCAAAGACATCAAAGAGCGGGGGACAAAAACCCCATCAATGTGTCAAAAGTTACTACTGTTACCCAGAAGCCTCCTATAAGGACTATGGACACTAAAAAATAAATGCCCCTTCAAATTAAAAGGGCTCTCAAAAGCTTCTGCATCTGTACGAGGGTCTGTCTAATCTATGACTTTCCTGGTAGACAATGGAAGACAACTCTCTGCCTCCGAAAGTCCCCTCTGTCAAAAAGTTACCGTCCCCGGGGCAGTGGGGACTCTTGCCTCTTTCCCGTTCTGCCACCACAGACTTGCAGCCTGGGAGGACATCTCACCAAACGTGAGCTTCTGTGTAAGTCAGTCCTCACACTGCTTCTGGGAAGAGACCTCCTCTTCAAGTTAGAAGCGACTACCTCCTTTGCACCAAGCCAGGCAGCCTCTCTCTCCTAACCCTGCACTTTCAACTCTGACTATTCCCTGAGAGGAAGATGATACCTGCATCAGCCTGAGACAGATAACTGCAGTCCTGAAGTTCTGAAAACTCTCCTCCCAGAGGTGTAAGCCAAAGACTCGTCTCTGGGCCTGGCCATCAACTGTGCCACCTTACCAAGACCCCCATGGCTGTCAGACAGTGTCCTATGTCACAGACAACACACAGGCGTCCAGCAACCCCTCAGCCACCTAAAGCAGTTCATGATTCTGATGGACTGTTAGATCACCTTGCACCCTGCAGCGCCTGCCTCATACACCTTTTCTGGACTGTTAGCTCCAGATGCCACCTGATTTACACATCTAGATTTAAAGGATGCCTTCTTTTGCTTGCAGGTTGCCCCCATAAAACTATCCTGAGACGGGACAAAAAGGTCAGCTCACTTGGACTCATCTGCCACAGAGGGTTAAAAATTCTCCCACTATTTTCATGGAGGCTCTAGTAACAGATTTTTTTCTTTTTTTTTTTTTTTGGTCTTTTTGAGACAGGGTCTCGCTATGCAGTTCAGGCTCACCTTGAGCTCACTTTGTAGCCCAGGCTGGTCTCGAACTTGCAGTGATCCTCCTGGCTCCCAAGCACTGGAATTACAGGTGAGTGCCATCATGCCTGGCCTCTAATAACAAATCTGGCCATGTTCCCATCACCTTCTCTCCAGGACAGCCTATTTCTCTGTCCCTTCCAGCTCCATCATGGGCCCTGACCAAACAGTACCCCATGCCATGAGACTTGACTAGAAATTCAACCATACATACAGAGGCTTCAAAACAGCAAAATCTTTACAGACTGTCAAACTGCTAAACTGCCTGTAAAGAGACCCACTAGGGAGTATTGTTCAGTTCAGGATCTCTGAGCAGTCAATGCTGCCTCGGTCTTCTGCCATCCACAGTCTGCTGGTACACCTGCCTGGACCTAAAGAATGCCTTCTTCGGCCTT